CACAGTCTCATTCTCAGTTCCTGCGGTGCAGACACACAAAAAAAGGGGGTACTTTGTCCCACAGTTCTGATAACTATGAAAAGGTTCTTCAAGTTTGAAAGTGCCTAAAGACAAAGAAGACATACATTAAAGAAGAACACATTATCCTTATTGCAGCCTAGTAGATATTACTGATCTGAGATACAGGAAAGGTCACTGTACTCAAAAGAGTCAAGCACTTAGCTTATTGCAATGATATACCATGTTTTTTTTGAAGGAATACTTTGGCATTTTAGGAAATCCACTTTCTTGATAGTAAATATATGAGAAACTGAGCTACAGCAGGGGGCCATTTGGATGTCAGTATACTGTAGGCGAAGCTCACACTGGTCTCTTTCACTATCACAGTGTTGGCAACTCTCACACTTAAGGCTCAAAACATCCATTTTTATATGCTCTCTCACACTGACCAAACAACTGTAAATAAATAAATAAACCCTTTTATTTGACTTTATTCAATCACCGTGGCCATCAAACAGCAGCAGGATCAATACATGTGTCTCCACACAGGAGCTGTACAGTTTACACACATGGAACAGCAGTGGTAACATCATTTTTTATTTAAATCTTCTGCTGTGGCATTAGTACAGCAATCAGGTCTGTTACTGTACAGATTCACAGGTTATCCTGTGAAATAAAGCAGCTGTGTTCAGAATGAACATCATCAACATTCAAGCTGTTGCTACATTTTAATCTTCAGCAAAAATCCAAACATGGTTTCCTCTGGAGAATCACAAAACCTTTTTGTGGCATGTCAAATTGATTATTACAGGGGTGTTGTAGTTTTTTTGCTTAAGAGCAATATATCTCCAACTTCACTGTATAGCAAGTGTGGATCTTCCCTAATAAAATATAAGGCAACTGATAATACTCTAACAATGAAAACAATATTTATTCTACCTAGTCTGTAAGTTACTGTAGATAGTGTAGGTGCCTCAGTGGTGTCCATTTTTTGCATGGACAGGCGTTTCAGTATTTATAAAGCATCAACTCAAAACAAAATAAAAAAAAAAAAATATCTGGCATTTGCAAAATATTTGGATATGGGACTATTTTATTATTGTTTATGGGACTTCACATTGTTTTATGGAGGTGATTCTCTCCCTGAAGTTCATTTAAAGCTTTACCAATACCAGTAAATTAAAAAATAAAATACAATAAAATATTTATTTTTTTAAAAATTCACAACCCTCGCAACATTTGGCCATTTAGGCAGCGTCAGTTTGAGAGAAACGTCTCTCAAATTTCACCAATATAATGCAGGTAAATGGAGTTTGTTTTGTGGTACAGCAACACCCCACATCATTAAAGCTGCTGATAGTGGAGTGCGACAAAACCCCAACACCACAACTGAAAACTGCATGATCTTAACTAAGTAAAAAAACAAAGCAATAACAAAATAAACTACAACAACAACACAAATTCAGCACCTAATGTACCAGCTCAGCAGTGCAGGTACATTCATCATCCAAACTTGGTTTTGTCATATCCATAAGGCTCACTGATGCTCTCTTCTAAAAGCATTTTTAGCAGCATTATCTGCTGCCTACATAGTCTACACACTGTCTGGTCTGTTTTCTGCTCCTGCTGTAACCTATCGACTCGCCGGGACTCACTTGAGCTGTGATGTTTACGATGCGTTGACATCATTTTAACTGTAATTCTGAGCATGCCCCATAGGAAAACATCCCCATCAGTAACAATGTCTCCCCCTTGGTGACAAAAGTATAGACATGGCTGCCAATGCATCACTGCTTTTACATCAGTTACATCAAAATAAAACACAGCATTTACATTAAACCAATTTCTTAAAACTACCTATAGGTTACACTGTTTTCTATCTGGTTTATAATATAATGACCTGTGACAAATGCATTACACAACATCCATCTATTATCTGTACCACTTATCCTAACGAGGGCCACAGGGGGGCGGAGCCAATTCCACCTGACATTGTGCGAGAGGCGGGGTGTGCACCCCAGACAGAACCTCATGACACAACATAAGCAGCTAATTTAGGTTACTTTACTGATGTGACTATAAGGTTAGCACTATCTTAGAGTTAACTATCTTGAAACATGGTCTATGAAAAACGATGTTTGTTAAATGCCACACACACAAATTCAATAAACAGCTATGTTAGATTGTTTTTGTCTTTCACTAAACATATGGAGTCACATATTGTTAAGTGGTGCTACAGTATGTTCCAAGTTTTTTATTTGGGTTATTACAAAGGTACACTACCTTGCTATTCTTTACTCTAAATCTAAATCTGTGCTGATGTCAAACCAGCATAGGTGTCAGACAAGACTGGATCTCACCATTACAACCAGTTAAGCAGCTGACGCATTAAGCACAACAATCACAGAACAATTTAAGCAGACACCGGCAGGACATAGGCAGCGCCGCCTCCAACCGGGTGCAATAAAGAACACTTTGGAAACACAAACCTGTGCTCCCAGGTTATTGATTTCATAATTAGCCTGTGTAATGGTTCTCCGGTGACGTCAGAGGACAGCAGATACGTGCAGTCTTCTGTAGCCTGTGGTAGAAAGAAAGGTAGGTAGTGTGTGTGACGGGGTTATTAAATTTCCTCAAGTAGATTTTATAAAATGCTCTTGTTTGTGCAGCATTATTACAAAAAAATCTTTCAAGAGGTTTTTCCTCCAGTTTTACAAAGAGCAATTTAATGGTGGTTGAAAGGACAGGGAATGGCCCATTTTTAAATGAAGCAGCAATAAGGAGCAGTAATAAGTGACTGAAACACTGTTCAAGATTGTAGAGTTCAGTTATTTCACCATCATTAAATGTTTCTGCAGCCTTTGTCTTGCTACAAAAACCATAAACTGTTTCAGGGAGGAAAGAAACAACAGAGATGTTACTCATTTTCTGAACAGTAAGCAAAATGCGCACACTCGTTTCCTGAGGCATGATTTTTTATCTCTTTCCCAACAATTTTGGCATTGCTTGTGTTTTTCCAGGATAAATCAAAGAATGTGTCATGGTAGCAAATAATCTCATGAATTTGTTAGCTATACTTTATGGTTATGCTTAATGGCACGAGTGTTGTTTGTAGGCGTCTGGACTTCAGCTTATAGTCAACAGAACAGTGGTGGCCCCAAGAATTGATTTGACAGTAAAGTCCACTACAGCACAGTAAAACTTCTGTTAAGTTTTCTAAAACAGAAACTGGTGTAAGAAAATTATTTAACTGATTTGCATCAATTCCACCACAAAATAAGAAAAATGAAGCACTAACATAAAAAGGATTTGAACTGAGCTCAAGGTCTCATTACTGGTTATCTCAGATCCATAGTGTCGAGTATTCTTTGCCTCCGTCATCCTCACACAAAAGCTACTTGACACTTTTTTCTTTTGGTACATTTCTTGCCATTTCTTGCTGGAACAAAATGGACTGCCACCTGCTGCCAGCTGCTCTGGGACACAACATTTTGTTCCTCCGCTCCTCCTCGTCGTGATGGAGACGAGCAGGCCTGCAGTGCTGTCACTCATCTCCTTGTGTTTGCTTCACAGAGGCGGCATGAGGAGGAGAAAGCTTCTGAGCAGCTGTGTGCAGACAGAAACAGCTTTTTGGGTCTCCAAAGACACCCTGATGTAAGATCCCACAGCATGCTTAGGTATGATACTTGACAGGCCAGTGTGTCTGCCATGTTTGATTAGATCTCATGTTCCTTTTTAGAGCATCTCCTGTGGCTGACAGTGTGACAAAACACAACAGACTTTGGATCTGGGCTTGAGCCCTTGTTATCCAGACGATGAGTGCGATAATGCCCAATGTGCACCTCACTGCTGCCATCTGCTCCCTCTCTTCTGCTTGCCTGACAATTACATAAAAGCACTGATTCCTCTGCCAGCCACGCTGCCTTGGCACCTACAATGAATTTCTGCAAGAGTGTGAGTGAGCAAACACTGTGAAGTGACCAAAGATTTAAAATAAATATGCCGGGAAAAACTATGTAGCAATAAAAAACAAATGGTTTCTCTGGAAAGGGTGGGAATCCTTTCTGTCTTCTGAGTGTAAATCCTGTTATTTGTTTCCAGGAGTAATTTGAAAAAGGAAAAGAAAACTACTGCTCTCAGAGGTTTCAGCTGAAAGTATCACTTCAAAACAATCTGTCTCAGGAACTCAAAGCAACTCAAAATGATTCAACAGAGCAGCACGTATTCCTCTTCAAAAGCAGATTTCAGCTTTTGATGCAGTTACATTAGAGAATTAAAGTGAATTTATGAGCAGTTTTATCATCTGTAATTTCACAGAGCATTAATTTATTGCACTGCAGTGTAACGACGATGATATAAAAATGGACTATAAAAATATAATGAATTGTTGTTCACAGAAGAAGATGCTGTTGATTTTGAACTGCCCAACTGCAAAACACCCCAGCTCAAACATGCTTGTCTCACACTGATGTTGTATGAATGCAGTAAAACAGCTTAAAGACTGTCGTCACCACTGTGGCTGGTGTTAGCAGTAAAATGGTCGATGGTGAGTCAACTTCATGGTGCCTGTTTTGGATCACTGGGTTCTGTCAGAGCCTGACAGCTGTCCTGCCAAGGTACAGTAGGTACTTTATGTTCACTTCTGGAATCATTCAATCTGTTGGTTAAATGTCCCCCTCGGTGTACAGGGCCAAAGAGCCAGTACAATTGCAGCTATACTGCAGATCAAACCACATTAATGTCTAATGGGACTTACTTGAAACTCAAAGTTGACATTGTGTCTTTTCTTGTGGCAAAATCCTATCTTTTTATACAATTTTCTGGCTGAAGAAACAGATTGTACCAGAGTTATTGCTGTTTTTTTTTTTATCATTGATGTGTAAGAAGTATTTTCACATCGCAAAAATGCAAATGCACACTGGTGGAAAGCAGAGCTGTTGGGTCTCATCTGAATAATCTCTTTGATAGCATCTAGAAATACCCGTCCTCCGAGATTCAAGAAGGAAACCCAAGTGAGGGCAATTTTTATTCATCAGATTTAGAAAATAAATAGCTTCATCTCATAAGAATCACAATGCATCGTTAGACAGTAGTACAGATGTTACAGGAAATTAGCTAAAGTCATATTCAAAACAGTTGTGTGTTAAATTGTAAGGATCCATCTGCATTTTTGCAAGGGCTTATGTGGAAAAACTGCACTAGCAAAACTTGGCTAAGGAGAGCACAGCAATGAAACTGAAATTTGTTTTGTTTTGCTTTGGCAAAGCAGATGACACTGCAATAGATATATATTTAAAAATGTATCACATAAACTAGACTATACTGCATGAACAGCTGTGTATTGTCCCTGGTCACACGTTTATCACAGTGTTACTTTTAAAAGCTAGAGGATCAAAGATGTCACATGAAAAAAGACAAAGCTCAGCATGAAAAGGTTACTGCTGACATGCAGAAATGATAAGGACTCTAACAGATGACAGCAATAAACATGTCGACTCGATGGCTTGCTTCCTAAATGATCGCCTTATTCATTTGTCAGCTGTGATCAATAGTAAAACCTTAATAAACTACTTCTCACTGTTGTGAGGTGCTGCAAAATGTCAGCCTGTGAACAATTTCAACGAGGATTGTCATGTTAGAAAAATTACACCTCCCTGAAAAATATTACAAGTCAATCCAAAACTTGTCCCTGCTGGCACACACAGCATTAATTATACTCACAAAAATAAGAGCTAGAGGACTAACAAAGACATCCTGCTTGGAGTTGTGATCAATATGTGACCCACATGTCACTGATGTCAGCACTCTCATGTTTTCTGAAATCACTGTCCTCGTTCGTCATTGTGCTATCATTAGTCTGTGCATCACCAGCCCTCTTTGTAAACACGCAGTTTCCCATACTGCTGCAGTCAAACCGGCATCTGAGCCATCTGGTCAGCAGAGAAATTACTCCCACAGAACAACCGTCTGTCTTCCCTCTACCACTGGTAAGAGGAGAGGTTTCTGGTAAACGCTTCACATTTTATGGACAGGGCAGAGGGAGCCTGAGTGGGGTATCGGTGAAGGGCAGGGAGAGGAGTGTGTTACTGTGGGGTTGCAGAACCGCGTTCTTTACACTACGTTATGGTCACACCAGAGAGGTTATAAACGTAAACGTGTTGTTGTTGCTGTCACTGACAAAGTTGATCTGGCACTGCTTCAGTTTGGCAATATCCCCAATGTCCAACTCTGATAATAACTGAGTTGGGTCTGTGTTTGTTATTAAAACCTTTTGTTTCTCCTGCTGCTCTTCTTCATTCTCCTCTGGTTCCTCTGTCTCCTGTTTCTCATCTTTGCTGTCCTCCTCCTCCTCCTCCTCTTCCTCCTCTTCCTCTTCCTCTGTGATGGAGCAGAGGCGAGTGGCGCTTCCTGGGTTGTCAGCAGGTGGTCTGTAGTGACACTGGCCGTTCAGCAGCCTCCTCAGTGGCATCAGGGGCACTGCTTCCTCACCCAACAGCTGCTGCTGGCAGTGCCGGAAATCACTCTGACGCTTCAGCCGTTTAAATTCGCTGAAGGCAGAGGTGGCGTTCTGGTAGAGGCTGTGGGCAATGGCCTGGGCCTTCTCAGACTTGTTGACCAGTACAGCATGACACCGAAGCACTACTGCCATGTTCTTGACCTGATGCCTGTAAATCCAGGCCAGGATCTTGGGGCGGCACGGATCAGCGGTGCAGTAGGTGATTCTGTTCAGGGAGTAAAGGTGAATGGGTTTGTTTTTCCCAGATTTGTCGGTGCTCATCCGAATGCCCTGCGGCCCCACCGTTAACCTCATTTTGACACTCTGCTCCCCGTAGTTGCTTCTCGCCCAGATCTTGGCAACTGCCTCCTGGGTGCAGCCGTCTCCTTTAGCTGTGATGGTGATCACACTCCCCAGGTAGCGCACATTATAAACAGGTTCCTCTTTGTTCAGTTCCACCTTTTGCCGTTTGGTATGGAAGATGCTGCCCACCCAGTCGAAGGGGCAGTCAGGCAGCAAGTCAGGACAGGAGCGCAGCAGAGAAGCGAGGATGGAGTGGTAGGTCAGCCCAGTCCCCAGGCTCTTGGGTTTACTCTTAGCTTCATCCTCCACTAAAACAAACTTATTCCTTCTCCAGGGTAGCATGGTGCGGAAGGAGTTGGAGCAAGGGAGCCCCTCTGCCGCCGCGTTTGTTCTTGTTGGCTCAGGCAAAAAGAACAGGAACGCCAGTTTGCGTGTGGAAAAGAGGAAAAGCAGAGAAACTGCTTTACAAAGCACTGAAGAGAGACTGAGAGCTGCGAGCCCCAGCCAGTCTGTTCCACCGTTCGCTCCTCCTTCCTCTCTTCCTCCTCCTCCTCCTCCTCTGCTGTCTGCATCATGCAGCGCTGATCAGTGCAGGAGCCCTAGCCAAGAGCCCAGGCACTCTCAACCCCCTCCCTGCTTTGTTGTTTTGCTTCCAAATGTCTTTGTACCAAAGCATTATTTATCTGTCCAGCTTTGTACTGAGATACCACTGTACTGGTGTATCCTGTAATTCTTTGTCAGGGGATATACATGACAAATATAGGCCGTTGTAATTAAGTCTTCTTGTTTAGTCTAGTGTTGAAATGATCTGTGTCAGTAGAATGATTTGTAGCATTACTAGCATGATTATTACAAGGTCTGGAGCCAAAACACAAAACTGCAACCTGGTGATAACTCTCATTTTGTCTGAGAGGTTGTTCAACACCAGATACCAACTACATCTAATTCTGGATGGTCCTCATTTTGTAAAAGGTCGTACATCAGCAATTTAGAAGTATGCTTTCTTTAAATTTCCATCTATAACATATATAACTATATAAATGAGAAAAAAATACCTTAGCTATTGTATATAGTCAGACTGTTAATGGACTGACTGTAAAACCTCCATTAAAATGATATTACTGAATAATTCATGAGCAACTCGAAGAAAGAGCAAATACCTGAAATTAAAATAGTTTATAAGTACGTGCATCTCAAAAGTATGATAATAAAACAAATAATCATTTGAAATTAGGAGGCCCAGGATAATTTAAGTGAAAGTCATTTATGCTGTACACAGTCCAATTTATTAAGGACGTCTGCTCCTGCAACAAACAGCACTTTGGTTAAAGTTAGGAAAAGACACGTGGTTGTTGGTTATTATTTGATAAAGTAAACACACCGTGTCTCATTAGGACATAAAAAAGAAGAATGATCCGTGGAAACACTGCCAGCATGTTGGCGAGAGTGGCAGTGGTAGAAATGTCATAGCTGTCTACCTTGGTTTATGTCCAAATGCATACAATACTACAAACACTGCTGTCAAACTCAGCTTTATGTTAGGTGCCACACGCTGCTAGCTTGTCTGTAGACTCTTGTTATTTAACATTTAAAGGATGCAGCCAATATTTTTATCAATCCGCATACACAGACTAAAACTGACAATAGATTTCCTCTACTCAGCGTTAGTGTCCATCAGTGTGTCAGTCCTGGATTAGTTTATTCTTCTATGCCATGCACCTCCATTGTTGTTCAAAAACAATTAAAAACACATCAGTGAAACACACCGCTGTACTGGGTGACATATTTCTTCATTAGCAAGCACCAGACATGAGCCTGAGGAGCTAGCAGAATGTAAGCAAAGCAGAGCGCTCACACAAGATCTCACGCATGTGCAGTTGACTCGTGCTAACTTCAGGAAATTATGGCTGCTCGGAGCATTTGGGGCAACATAGTCATGTCTGGGAATTCGTATTGAAAAAATGTGTCACTGGTGTGTTTCCCTGATGTATTATTATTTATTTTTGAACAACGATGGAGATCTATGGCACAGAAAAACAAACTAATCCAGGACTGACAGACATTAACTATGACTAGAGGAAACTCATTGCCAGTTTTATTTTCTGTATGGAGACTGCTGAAAATACTATTAATATGGAAAATGACTGGCCTTGTGCCTTAACAGATATCACCATAATCCCCTAATCTTAAACTGTTTCTCTGTGCCAATACTGTAGGCCTATTGCAAGAATGAATAATGTAGTAAAACATTATCAGTGAATGTGTTTGCTAATATGTTTCTGTTTCAATATTTTGCAACTTGGCAGATATGTTCAATGAAATGTAAGTTTTTTTTATCTTGTTAAAAAGGGTAATCTGCTTCCTTTGAACAAATTTGCTGATTGCTGCCAATTAGCATACGAGAAGCCTGGGCTGATTTTCTATGGTGCAGTGTCATTTGGAACATGAACAAGAGAACATGGGTCACACATCTGTCCTATATGACTACTGTGTCCAAGCCTGTGCATGACAGGCCAATGCATTATAATGAGGGCAGACAAAAGCCAGCTGCACTTTCACTGGAGGATTCTGCAGCAATGAATTGAAATAGGTGTCATCCATGTCTGTCACTAAGCTGGACTGAACTGTCATGTGTATGGATGGAGCTCTCTGCAGAGATGTTAGTTACTGTAGCAACACTGGAAAATAAATGTCTCTTTTCTACCCCAGGTGTGTGCTGTGAATTAAATAAAACTCTGAACAGAAAAATAAATGAAACTGCTTTGAATGCACAATCTCATATGTAGATGTGATTTATGCCAGCAAATGTGAGTGCAGAAATGTCTTGAATTTCTTTTCTGGCGCTCTTCTAATCTATTCGTCTCTATTTAAAATCCCAGCTATTCACCGTGGCTCAGGATACACACTGAAAAAAGCTTCTTGGTAACCCACACACATAGCCAGAGGGTATGTGGCCAAACTTAAGACTATCAAACTTACGGTTTGGAATAGTATGGGCAGTCACCCTGGCAAAATGATGAAGAGACTTTTGCTCTCAGTGTACTTGAGTGTTTAGTGAATAAGGAGTTTCAGATCCAGAATGAGTCAGAATCTTGTTGAGTCTCCAAAGGCGGTGTGATCGAGAGGTCTTACACAAATAGCTGTGGTCCCATAAATCACCACTGCGATGTGAGATAGCTCATCTCAGAAGATTAAGGCAGACCCTGATATGCAAAATCAAAAACAATCCATCATGGTTTGGCCTTTACACAAATTGATCCCTGTATTCAGAATTATCTGCCTTCTAAGATCATCTTGTATAAGAGGGCTGTTCAGTGAAATTAGGAAGTGTCTTGAGTCTCATTTGTTACATGTCCAGTCTCTTTCTCTTCTGCCTGTAAACTGTTGCAGCGTAATCAAATATCGAACACAGACTGCCGCTTCTCAGCAAAAGGAATCACCGCTCTCTCTTTGTTATATCCTTCACTTAGTAACAAGAAATAATCTCACAGCCCTCCATCCCACTTCCAGAGATGGTATAGGGAGATTACTCAGCTGCGAATGCTCTGACACTAGTGGTATGACAGGGTGTAACAACTTGTTTGTAAGAAATTTAACTGTGGTTAAAAGGAATATAATATAATGATCTTTGCATGTATCCAATTTCAGCGTATACTGCTGTGTGCTGCGACTGTGGCTGAGGAAAAATGATTTATGAATTTGTTCTCTCAGTCAGAGTGTGGTGCATTTTAATAAAGCTGTCAGCTTCAAGGTGAATGACAGAGAGTAAAAAGTAAATAATTTCTTGTGTAAGTATAGCATCAACATGCAAACATGTTTAATGTTGTTGGAAAATCCTTTGGCATAGTGAAATAATCATTATGAATTATGTGTTCATTAGCCTTTTCCATTGGAACTAATGTTAATCTGGCACCAAAGGAAAGGTTTGGTGAGTTTACAAAATGTCAGTCCAACAGATGTTTCATTCTGGACCAAAGTGGTTGACACCATCCAGCAGATAGCCCACTATGTGTCATCCCCACAGCCATGTTACTGGTGTGGCTACAAGCTGCTGCAGTCCTGATTTACCACCACTTCCTCTCTCTCTCTCCATTCCACTGAACAACAACCACATCTGTTATCAACACACACAGACAACCCAGGGTGCTATCATTGCAATCCAATTAGTTTTATCTAAGTACCACCTCAGCTTCTGAATTCTCCTTCCTTGTTTGTAGTTTCATCCGTTTATTCAGCTCTGCGAATGCTACATGTTTTCAGCCTAATTAAAGTGAGCTCTCTCTTCACCATGATACACTTACCCAGCACAATGTAATCAGTGAGAGGAGCCTAGCAGGAAGGGTCCCAACTCTTATGGCTAATTTATGGATGCCTGTGAGGGCGGCAGTGAGGCAGCCAGGAACACTGTAAAGAACGACAGAGAGGGAACGATGACAAAAAGAGCCAGTCTGCACTTCATGGATCAGATGGCTGCCATAGATAACACGCCTACACCCAATCCATAAAGAAAAAAGAAAGAAAAGGGGAAAAGGGTGACAAGGGACAAGAGAATGGCAGCATTTTGTTGTCATTTCTTTGTGTACAAAAAGAGGAAGTATATGCCTCAAGGGATGGACATCAATACCACCTCGTTCCTACGCTATAGATTCCCATAGGCTTGGCTGAATGTTTAACGCAGTTCAAGTGAATCATGGTTTAATGAACAGGGGCAGTGCAGGACATTAGATACAGGACCCTCAGTCCTTCCCTTAATCAGGAGAATGGTACAGTCACAGTCACTGAAGGTACAAAAGTCCTAAGATCAATACATCTAAAGGTCACTTTTTACCATGTTATGCGTCATTAGTTTAGTCCAAACAATCTGCTTACCAGCAGTGTTTCTATTCATTACGCTAAGCTAAGCTAATCAGCTGCTGGCTCCAGTTAGTACACTTGTCTATATTCATATATACTGTATAGAAATAGATAGATAGATCAGCACGTCCTCATTCCCATGGCATCAAATGCTGACAATACTTCAGGTACCTTTAACACCTCAAATGGACACCAAAGGTAGCCTTCGGTGTGAGTTGGCACCACAGATGGCTGCCTCGGCTCTGTACCGGAAACAAATTCCTTGTGTGTGTGTAACATGTTTGGCCAAATAATGGTGATTATCCTTAAATAAACAAACATCGAACAACTGGAGAGCCGAGATCCCCTCGAGTTCCCTGTGATAAAGTGATTTTTAATCAGCAGGTGTTTTAACCCAAGCCAAGATATTTTCCTTAAACCTAACCAGGTAGCTTTTGTGCCTAAACATAACCATGTTGTTTTTGTGTCTAAACAAATGCACACAAATGGGTTAGCGCTGTTCCGCAATAAAAACCCTGAGCATCTTATATGGATGCCAGTGGCACCCTTTAGTGTCAGCATGAGGTGCAGAAGGTACAAAAGGTCCTTGTATATCTATCTGTCTATCTATCTATCAGTACAGAAAGTTTTCAGACCCTTTCAAGTTTTCCATATTTTGGAACCATGATCAGATTCATTGCTCCATGTCATTTAAACTTCACAGAAACACGTCATTTTTAGCACATGGAGAAAAGCAAATTACTGATAGCACCATATTCAGCATCAATAGCATAAGTAGTTTTTCATCATGTGTTGCTGGTAAATGCCTTACATTTTTGAAGTTTTGAAGGACAGAATATGAGGAGCACCACAATGAAGTCTGAGCTAAATAGCTTCATTACAGATCCAGTGCTTTTGTTGATTAACCCTCAGAGGCAATCCTAAGGACACAGAATGCCAGCTGATTTCAAAATCTTAAAGAACTGAGACTTCTTTTTAGAAGACATGCTTTTCAGTGGGAGAATAAGCAGATTGTATGGCAGGGAAGAGCTAAAAACGGTGGCACAGTGACAGAACAGAAAATTTTTTTTTTAATTATTCCAAACAGGTTTTTACATGAGAGACTCTGCTTTTGAAGTTTTTTTTAATCAAAGCCTTTTGATCACATCATCAGTATCGAGCGTTAGAGCCCATTAGACGCATGTGAATACAGTTCAAATAAGAGAGACTGATCTGAATGGTATCTGTCAGGTCAAAAAGTCAGACAGTTAGTGCCAACCACTTTCAACCAACAGCACCTATAAGTATTCAAATCTAACAATTTAAATGTTCGAAAATTATTTATTTGGCTGAATAATAGCAGGAATAAAAAAGAATAAGACGTCTGCACTGATTTGACTTACTTGGCCATTTTGTCAAGAATCTCCCATGTTTTTGCCTGCTGTGTGGTGAGGTGTGTAATTGGATGGACTCTACAGGGAAGAGGTTGTGTTTAAATGTTGACAGGTATTATCCTTTCAACACTACAGCATCGAGAGGATACATACATCCTTCTTGCTTCTGGCATTTCTCCCATAAAGTCATTGCCTACAGTACGTCTGCTGCCGCCACTGCTGCCTATCTGAAATCCAAGTGCAAGCATCTGAACGGAAGTCATTATGCGACAGACAAAGAAAGTAAGGAGGTGGGAGGTTTAGGTAGGCAGAGACAGCACCGGATCTGCAAGGTAGACTCTGTCTACAAAACAAGGTGACTAATGTTGAATCAAAGCCCCAAGGACCGTGCTGTTCTTTTACTGGGGTTGTAAACAAGGTTGCACCTTTTTCCATCAAGAGTGCTTCAGCCAGGAGAGTTTTTGTGGCAACTATTCCCGTTGATTAAGCTTAAAGGGTAGTCTATTGTGATTTCTGGAGGGGAGTTAATTCATTTTAAATGCTGTTTTCAACCAAACCTATGGATGTGTGGTGCAAATAGAGAGTCAGTTTGTAACCAAAAGCAGCTGTGTTTGCATAGATGCAGGCTATCACTGGCTGAAACGAGCTGCCGGATATTTGCTCCACAGTTCACTTTCTGGTAATTCGCTCACAACACTGTACAGTACCAGTGCTTTAATGGATTGCAGTGAGCCACTGTTGACAGCTGGTCAACCTGGAGCAAATAAAAAAAAAAAATCAGAACCCGTTTCAATAATATTCTGGGTAAATATAGTCAATACTATATCATCTGGGTGACCCTTGTCTTCTACATAGCCTATTACCAGCTGCTAATTTATCAAAAACAACAAAAATCACTGAGGTAGCATATAGTTTCTGCATTGATGGATCTATGTTGCATTTAGTGTAACTCACACTCCAAATATATGTAAAACACACCAAAGTTGTGATTTATGTTCTTGTGAAAATGTTTCCTTTACCTGACACTGACACATTAAGTCAGTGGCAGCGGTGCACGAATTTTTAATTAAAACATATTTTTAAAGAAAGCAACAGCTCCGAAAAAATACACCATACATACATACAGGTACGATGCAATGAATATGTGCAAGGAAGCAAGAAATAAAAAGGCAAATTCAATAATGTGGAAGAAAAGGTTCCCGTCAGAGATTAGAGGCAAACATTTGTTATAAATATAGTGACTCACACTCTGCCTTTTGTCTGGAATAAATATATACACTATATATAGATGAACCCAAAGTTAGAATGTGACAATAATATAGGAATCATAATTTATATGCAGCCTGTGAACCTCCAGCTCAGAGGGTCAGTTTAGAGCAAGAAAGTCTTTCTAACCTCCAGGGGAATAATGGGTGCGCCCTCCCAATTTTTTCAACTGTATTCAGTATTCATTTTACTATTGCACTGACCTTAGGTCCTATTCTGTGACACAAGAAGAATGAATAAATGGTGCAGCACACCGATCCAATGTGGCAGCAAGAAAACACCAACAGATGATGAACATTCTACCAGTTCCGTCAACACTTCTCCATTAATTCACAAACAATAATTGGTCCATCAGGTTCCCTTTTTCTGGACACAGAGAAGTGAACGGGTGACAGACCTGGCTTGCACAGGTGTGATAACATTAATAAAAGGTGCATAGTTGAATGGAACTAAACCAATACTGGTGTTAGTAATTTTGCCTGTTATATACAGTACTGAGACATCCCCGTTCCATACTATGTATTAAGTGTATAGAGTATAATAAACAATTACAATTATTCAATAATTCACCATAAAAAGAAAGAACAGAGAGATGCCCCAAAGCTGAATTAAAAGTATGTAGCAGAACTGAATTATTTCTTCTTTCCTCTCCCTTTGATCATTTCATTAATCTTTAGGTTTATCTTCTGGCCCTTTGGACAGCCTGAAGCCCTAGGTTGGGAACCACTGCACTAATATACATATATATATATATATAAAGGTAATCACCGGGTACAACAACAAAATGTTACTTATGCCTTGATGCATTCTACCTTTGAGTTTTGCTTACAATACTTCTGTACTTTACAATGAAGAACGAGTTTGAATTAAGGTATTTTTACATTGTTGTAATATGTTTACTTAAGTAAACAATCAGAGTACTTCTGCTACCACTGCTAATTGCATACAGTATGTAGTATGTACTAATTAGTAATGTTTCTGCAGCTATAAATATTTTTAAAGAGATCTGTCCAACCATCCCATCCATACCACTTATCCTATAAAGGATTTTGAGATGGGATCTGAAGCCACGGCCAGCAGACACTGGGGGTGTCGGACACTGGACAGGCTGCCACCCTATCACAGGGCTGACTTGTACTGTAGAAATACAACCACTCATACTCACATTCACACCTACGGGCAATTTATCTAACCTGCTTGTCTGCAGACTGTGGGACGAAGTTGGAGCACCCAGAGGAAACCCACGCAGGCACAAGATACTTATCTTCAGCTCAGTGAGACTGTTTGATTTAATAAATGTTAAAACAAAAATAAAATGGTTATCACCAAATATCACCTGGCACATGGTATAAACATCTTAAAGCCAAGTAACGATCTTTACTTGCTAAAAGGACTGAGGACTTTAAACCGTAAAATATTTTGAAACTAAAATTTTGACCGTGTGTAAACGAGTCTTTCTAAATTGTGTGCACAGCTGTACAATCAGATTAGCTGTGCGATTGCACAAGCTGTGTTTTGGGGATGTTTGTCTTTCACACAACACTAATCCACTCATTTCCACATACAGTATATGCAGTGTGTTTAATCATCAGTTGCAATTTACCCTCATTTCATTTTCATTTGTGATCTGTGCAAGGGGAGAGCCAGATTAACCTCTAGTTAACCTTTTGTGGGGGGAGTTAATACATTTTGGGGGGGTTATGTTATGTTGACTTGGCCTTCTCTGACAATTTATACATTCAAATGATTACTGAATAAAATAATTATTGAAGAAAACAATGGTCATACTGTACTCGATGAAAAAATCGTTAGTTGTTCTTCTATGCTGGAATAGTATTGACTCTGACCAAGGTTTTCTGTCATTTGACAAACAGAACAAACTGAATCAATTTGATAAAACATTTTTAAAGCAAACGTGGAACAAATGCATCTTAAAATAAAAGAACGTAAGTGTTAAAACCAGAATTTCATATAGATGTTATCTACAAGACCAGGACCACGTGATGGCGCACGGAGGACCCAACTCTCTTAATACTGCACTTTAGTGGCGCAAAAGTCTAAATTTGTTGGTGGTGTAAAACCTTTCGAGGTCCCTTGGGCACCGCTAACGACTCTACACCGCCATCTGCTGGCAGAGAAGAAAACTGAAAGTCAGTGGTTTTACCGTGGAGACCCACAGCTGTTGTTACCCTTCTGTTGACATAGGGAAATACAGGTCAGATAAACCTTTTTAACGATGGTCCGATCAAGCTGTTACTCGTCATAATGATGTGTAACATGACAGCTAAAATATCTTTTAAACGGCTGGTCGAATCATTTTATTGTAGTTAGCTAAAGCATAGCTAGCAAACTGCTAATTCAAACACCTATAGCTAGCTTATACTGTAACGTTAAGGAAGTGTGTGACTGAGTTAACTTAAGCCATGTAGCAGGTAGGCTAAGCAAGTTTGCTTGAAAACTAGCAAGCTAAACCCTTGACCTGCAGCTACGCTATAGGGGTTTATATGATTCAAATAGAAGCATGACGGTTACGTGAACTGAAGTTAATGTTAATGAGGAATAAAAGCTGATATCGCCAGGCAGTGCCGTAATTTGGCACTTAGCATTAAGTTGCCATGTGTCAGCCTAAGTTAGCTTGTGTCACCTGATGGGACTCCTGTAATCAAAGGCTGGTAATGTACAATGGATGTAAGGTCTACGTTAACATTACTCACCCATAGCCGGTAAATTGCTGAATGTTTCAGCCCTGTGGATGTGCAGGTTCAGTTATCTTAGCTCTAACAATACATGTAGCTAAGGCTAGCTGCCAGCCTAGACCTTTAACATTGAACAAAGGGGGGGGGCTCTCTCCGGCCCCCGGACAACAGAATAGACCAACACAGGAAAAAAATATTAAGCACACAAGGGCAAAACACTACACACAAATACAGGGAGAAGTGAAAGGAAACAAACCCTGAAGAGGGGACAGAGACAAGGACAATCTTAAGATATCAAAAGTAAAAGTATTCATTATGCAGAGGGGGTCGTTTTAGTCCTTGAACTCACTGTTGAATGGTTTAATACTTAACAATATCATGTAATGTAAGATGATTCTATGGTTTGTATGTAAAATCATACTTTAAGAAAGTAGATGCCAGACAAATGTACAGTAGTGGAGTAAAAAGTACATTTCCATCTTTCCACCACTGGTTTTGTGAAACAACAACAGCCCACAATTAGTCAGCATTCAGTCTGAGATCACTCCTTTTTTGTCCTGTCCACCTCAGTCACTGCTACAGTTCACAGGATGGACTCCAATGGGAAACCCTCGGCCGCACAGATCGTGGTGTTAGCCACCAGCTCGGCCCTGACTGCCATCTTCTACTCTATTTACAGGAGCAGAGCTACAACAGTTGCCAGATTAAAGGTCAGCAACACTGTCTTTGTCACTTGAATGTCAGAAGTGTTTGAATTTATTCCCCCGATATGTTCCATTTGTTAATCTTACATGTTTGTTTCTTCAGGAAGCAAAGAAAGTTTCCATTGGCCAGGATTTGAAAAACATCCTGTCTGAAACCCCTGGAAGATGTGTCCCATATGCCGTCATAGAAGGTGTGTTTGGCCACCTTGAAACCTTACTCAAATACTTGTAGTTATTGTATCTGTAATTTGTTATTGATGATTAAAATGTACCATGCGTAATAATAACAACAGTTACACGCCGCCTTATTTATTGCACACTGCAGGTGTAGTGCGAGCTGTGAAGGAAACTCTGAGCAGTCAGTTTGTTGAGAACTGCAAAGGTGTCATTGAAAGATTGACACTGAAGGAGGAGAAGATGGTGTGGAATCGCACCACTCATCTCTGGTAAGTCAGTGAGAGCGTTGAAGTAAAGTTTTCTACGTGTAGTAATTAGACACGGAGCTTAGAGAAGAGGAGCAAATGCAAAAATTGATTTGGGGATTTTGAGAATCAATAATTGCATTGTTTAAACATGAATCACAATTTATCAGAAAATTGATTTTCTTATCCAGCCCTACTGGGCAAACAGTGATGGGTAATTTTTGGGGGCATTTTCTGACATGTTATAGACAAAGCAGCTAATCAGGAAATAATAATTAGTTGCATTAATAACTGATGTATCTGAACAGGAACAACACAGAAAAAGTCATCCACCAGCGCACCAACACAGTTCCATTTGACCTCGGGTCTCATAATGAACATATCGCTGCCGCAGTTCGGGTTATGCGTCCACTAGACGCTGCAGAGTTGGACCTGGAGACCATCTACGAGAACTTCCACCCCACAGTCCAGTCTCTATCCAGCGTTATCGGCCACTTCATCAGCGGGGAACGACCCAAGGGCATCCATGAAACTGAGGAGATGCTGCGTTTGGGAGACAATGTCACAGGTGTTGGGGAGCTGGTCCTGGATAACAACCTGATCAAACTCCAACCTCCCAAGCAGGGCTTCTCTTATTTCCTCACGCGGCTGGACTACGAGTCTCTCCTGAGGAAGCAGGGAAACAGCGTCAGACTGTGGCGGATCCTGACTCTGGTCTTTGGCGTCACTGCCTGTTCGATGCTGATATACATCCTGTGGAAACGATACGTACACCACCAACGGAGCAAGAAGGAAAGGAGCATGTTCCAAGAGTTCAAGGAACAGCAAAAGAAACGTATGCGTGAACTCAACATAGAGGAAAACAGCATTCCCCCCACCAGCTGTACAGTGTGCCTGAGCCGGGAGCGCTGCTGTGTGTTTCTAGAGTGTGGTCACGTATGTGCCTGCACTCAGTGCTACCAGGCCCTCCCCGAGCCAAAGAAGTGCCCCATCTGCAGGGCAGTTATAGACAGGGTGGTGCCCCTCTACAACAGCTAACGTGGGCATCAGCAAATACAGCAGGGTGTGGAAATGGGATATATTACACTGGAAGTCCTTTCAGCACTTTAGTCACAGTACTACAGCAAATATGTCATTAAAAAGTCTTTCAGAGGGTTATGTCTGTACTCTTGTTGCACTTTTTGTTTGTATTCATCCTGATAAATAGTTATCTCTGTGCTGAAATGTGATATAATCACTTTTCCCATCGGATGTTTAAATCAGATTGAAAGCTGTAATTCACCTTCAGAGAAAATAGAATTCTTTCTTCTGTCATGATAAAGATAATTAAATTCCTTCTTTTGCCTTGAGGAGAAAATAAGATTTCTTTGTAGACACACAAATGTTAATCAGAAAACCGAGCTGTTTCCTGATGCAGCTCGGTTTTAGAGGTGAAGAGCATTTTGAAACCGTTTCTGCAAATGTTCTTAAATTTGTGCATGTGTATAAACACTCGCACCGCCGTAGGCTACGCAGTTATCCTATGGCGCTGTGTGGATTCAACACAGAACCATAAATCAAGCTTAATATGAACTGAAAAGATTATTTTGATAAAGTCACAATCATTGTATTAAAAAGAAAGCTGTTGGAACAAGATGGAGCTTTCTGCCAGGAGAGGGAGATGTCTGCCTTAGAAGGAAATCAGGAATTGGAGCCAGAGGTATAAAATGTTAGAGATGTGGTGCCATATGCTCCCACAGTGCAAGCTGTTGTTTGCAGCACCCTCTGTATTTGTTGCTTCAGTTCAAACTGCCTTGCACATTGAAATATTCAGAGGTGAAATTTATACGTGCTTGCTCATGTATAAAATACGGTTACTGGGAGATGGGACAGCCTGTTGGCAGGGCCTCTCCTAATGCCCCACGGGGACGGATGTATGTCCAGTGTTGGCGGGCTTGTTATGGGAGTGCTCAGTGTGTTCTGTTGTTGGTGTGTGTGTGAATTAAAAAGTGGCTCAAGTGAGCACAGAAAAAGGCAGCATGTGTCCCGGTTCCTCCTTCAATTCAGCCAACATTACTATACTAATTTTGTCTTTGCTTTGATTGAATAAATGATTTGCGTGGCTGTTTCGCTGTAATTTTAAGGCGGTGGGTAAGACCTAAAACTTTATTTTTTAGAAACTAGATGATTATTTAAGCACATTTTATGCAGACATTTGAAAAGCAAGGACAGAGGCAGACTAGAAGCAGGAGAAAACACTTCAGCACGATTCAATTTGAAGCCAGCGGGAATGCATATTCAGCTCCGGAGGAGGCCGTCTGAGCCTGTTTGAGCAGAGAAGAATACCCTTTTTACTTTGAAATGATTCTGTATTATTCAAAAAAAAAATTCCATTTTATCACCTCACATTATGCCATGAAACCTCCGATGTATTATTTAATATTACACTGGGAGCTTGGTATTATCACATTAGTATTAAACAGCTTGCCCAACAATACCTGTCTTCCAGGAGGGAGCTGATGCCGGCTGTGCCGCAGAAGGACTTGATTTAAATCTTATAAATAGTGTAGTTAAGCCTCACCATAATCACTTCTTCCTGTTGGATGTACTGAAGGCACTAAACGCCACAATGAAGCCCACTGATTATATATTAACAAATATTGGACGGCTAGCTGGGAAATTTGGCACAGACATATGTGTTTCTCTCTGGATTGATTATAACTTTGGTGACCATGTTTTAATTTAACATTTATATAAAACCAGAGAGTCTCTTGAGATACATCATCTGTCTTGTAAAATGGCAACAAAAGACAGGTGTCATTAGGGCTGCAAATATGATTAGCATTACTGAATAATCAGCTGATGAATAAAAATAAATACATTGCTAGAAAACACTGAAAAAAGTGTTAGATGAAATCTAAGATGATCAAATTGCCTTACTTTGTGTGAGCAACTATCCAAAATATTATGAATACTGAATAAAAATAGCAAATTCTTGACAAATGACAGGTTGAAATTAGGGAATGTTTGACATTTAGACGTTAGGCATGGTAGCATGTTAACATTTGCTCATTGGCACTAAACACAAAGTGCAGCTGAGGCTGATGGGGAGTTGTACAGGTATTGGACAAAATCTTGGCTTGATAAACCCTCAGGAGTGTTATTACAATTCCTGATGGGGGATGTGAACATCTGTACCAAACTCCACAAGTGTCCAGCCTCCTACAGCTGCCTGCACACTCCCATCCATGTGGCTGCTCTACACCTAATTGGACTTCATTTAAGAATTCTTCCTGTGAATCCACCAAGTACCCAGCATAGAGCCAACGTAAGCCAATAAATGCTTAAGTCAGTAAGTGCGTGTAAATGAATGAGACACGTTGGAGGACACTTTGGACCAAAGCCACATAAAAACATCATGCTGAGCGCATTTTCCTTGCAGAGCTGCAGATAGACCTTGTTGAAAAACACCAATGGTTTCCATGGGAACTGCTAATCATCCTCTTAACTCCTGTACCCTGAGGTTGAGACAGTATTCATTTATTGTACCTCATGACCTACCTTCAGGCTAGCTTTCAGCCAGACAGTGCAGTTACTCAGCCCCTGTTTGTTCTAGCTATATACTGTATGTGCACGTTAAACTGCTGTGAGAAAATGGTCTGGAATAAGTCAGCCATGAGCCTCCGTTCTGCAGCCAGAGGAGTTTGAGTACGGGTGTAAGAGAATGATTGTCACTGTAAACACACAAAACATGATGACAGTTGTATGAGTGGAGTTACTGTAAATGAGAGTTTTGGTGTTTTTCACCTGAACTCTAAATTGAAATATTGCTTCCATCATTAAGACGTTAAGCTTGTAAAAGTAACTGATCTGCTGCACCTTGTCACAGGTTTGTTGTACTTTACTATACTTAGCACGTGTAGAGCAGTTTATTAGTTGAAACAACATATTTTCTCAGTAGCCTAGCAATACTATAGGGTTCAAAGTTATTATAGGTTCATTTTCTTTTGCCTGCGTATTGGTAAAACTAATAAGCCGTGTTTGCTGTTTCCACGTGTTTGCGTGCTCTGCAAACCACCATACACCATCAGGAACTGTTTGAGTCTTGTTTGATCTCTGAAGCAGAGGTGAAGGTGGTTATTAGCATCACAGTAATGAGCTGTCTTCTTTTGTTTGTTTGTTTTTTTACACCACAATCTGGTTTCTGCTTCTCCATTCCTCCATTTTTCCATCACTCACCCCTTTTCAAGTCTCTGTTTCTCATGCTGGGCATGTTTTACTCGACCATGTGGTGGGTGGTGTAAATAATGTCTTGTCATCCTTACTCACACCCCCTTTTATTTCAAGGAGCCATATTATGGCAGCTTTTGCTGTTAATGAGGCATGTGCCATGTCACTCAAGGAAGACACACAGCCAGTGCAGTAGCCTGTGTCACCTCGATATCGCATCGGCTAAAGAGCCAGATGGAATAATACAGCATGTCTTTCACCTTGGAGTCTTTTGGACCAGGTTCATTATAAATTACATTAAGTAGGCTGCTGTGTGCATGAGGTATGGAGCACAGGTTGTTTATAATTTGCAGGCACAATGTATAAATGAGGTACAGTTCAAGCCATAGTGGATTGAAGGGGAGCCGTCGAGATGAGGAACCACGATGCCCAGTTTCAAAATCCACCTGACACAAATGCCACAAGTTACATAAGGTAAGACATGGATGTATAGGAAATGAGGCTTATTTAAAAAGAGAAGTTAAAATAGGTGCTCTAGGAAGAGGCTGTTTTAGAGAGGGTTTGTTCTGACTGAACTGAGTTAGGTAATTCATTCTTCCAATGAGGACACAAAGTTTGAATTGAGATTTCCTGCCTTGCAGTGTTGTCTATGTAGTCATTGTTCACTGGCTGATGGTGCAAATGAGAAGAAGCAGATAAGACAACCAGCTGATGTTGTGCTAGTGGACACAGTTGGCAATCATGAGTGACAAGATGCAAGCAGTGACAGGAAGCCAGTGGAGAGCAGAGATAAGCACTACATGTTGTGCTGTTTTTGGCTGAAGACGTGGCATGCTGCCACATTTTGGACCACTTGAGGTTTTACCTATACATTTACAGCCCTGCCAGAAAGTAGATTAGCAAAATTTCCGTTTGAGAAACGTAGTTCCAAAACAGTGTAACTTGCGAACCACGTACTGTACATGCTAGCACTACATTTTGTTTAATTTCTATTTAGTTTATTCAAAAGACATCGTCCCAAAGTTTTTGTCTATAATCCATGCTTTTCTGGAGCAGTTTCAGGTCCACATGTCAGTTCTTCAGTCAAAAACAGCACAGCACTCAGTGCTTTTCTCTTCTGTCCACTAGCCCCTTGTCACTGCATACAATTTGTCACCAGCAGTGGCCACTAGCACAATATTCTTCTTTTGGACTCTCTGCAACACGGACAGGACAGCCTACCATAGGTTGATGGTGCAATATCAGAGTCACCGAATTTTAACTTGATGCAAAAAGTCTGTGCTGATTTAAGGCATGATTTGCTCTTAATAAAGTGAATCCACTAATTGTTTCTGTCACTGTTTAAAATTTTGGTGTGACTGGGCCTTTGGAGAGATTTAGTTTAAGGTGGCTTTCCATCTGTTTTGAGTTACTGGTGAGACAGGCCGAGATCCATGCTGACAGTGAAGTCATCTGGTGAAAAAGGTAGGTAGAGGTTTCATATGTCAGCAGATAACTGTGCCAAGGGAGGGGGCTTGGTGATATAAAAAAGATAAGAGGTCTGAACTTCAATCCTTGATGTACAGCATGTCTTGTTATTAGCAGAGGGGAAATAGCTATGGAAGCTTTGGTTGCAGAGTTATTTTATTACATGCACCTGTACAGCTGATCATAGCAGCAACATTTATAAGACACTACAGAAGCTTTCAACAGCCTCAAACAGTCAACAATTATAAAGGCACACACAGCAAGTAGAAAGATACTGCACTATACATCTGACGCAATACATAAAAATACTACTGATTACAAGTACAGCTGCACCTAATACTGCAATTACAGCACAAAAATATTACTGTATGACATCTATTTTATTTCTCATTTCAGAGAGCAAAATGCTGCACTACTGGCTCCACTGTGGTAATTCACTCATTAAACATCATAACAAACTCCTGTGTTCATGCAGAAGGACTTATGCAACTCAGCCTGAGTGAAAAAAAATACCTGAGTAAAGCAACACTACAATGGAATAAGGAAGAGAATCAATACAGAAAGATACATAGGCCACCAGCAGAGTTGAGAAACATTTAAAAGAAAGAGAGAAGACTAGCTGCTGTATAGTTAAGAAAAAGAACCAGTCATTATCCACACCGATTTAACTGCAGTGAACAGATAGCTGCTAACTCTGACCCTTGGTTAGGCACTTGCGGTAAATGAGCTGTGACGATAACCAAACCAGCAGGGAACTCCATGATTCCCAAAGCAGGACTGTTGATCGGTGCCCATATTAAGATTAAATCCATTACAGATTTTGTGTAACATCCTTCTTAAGTTCCAATTAACTAGCTAGTATCAAATACAGCAGTGATTTACTAAATTCAGATGCAGCATTTTGAGGAAACGTGAGAAATGTCTTCACTAGGTTGTTGCTAAGAAACATTTTTAGTTTGGTCCAATCAAAAAGTAATCTGTAAATGTAGATATGTCTTTGTTTTTTAGTTATATATGCCTACATGGAGAAATGTGTTTAGTGGTACAACTACATGCTCTTAGTAGAAATATCAGACTACACTAATCCAGAGACTTGCAGAATGAGAGTAAGGTGAAGAGGAGAAGTCTGTGCTGGTGCTCTAAAATCAGTCAGAATTTAGGTGTCATAGCTTGGCCTGCCTTTCAACACGGTCAGCAGCTACACCAGAAGCTGTGACACACAACTAATACTTTAAAATCCTCAGGAGTAGATTGCTGCATTTTGCGTCAAAATTCATATTTCTTCTTGAACAATTAACCTGCACTAATTCTGCACTTGCAAACGGAAAGTACAACTGACTCCAGCTCTGTGTTACTCTCTCTGAATCAAAAGACTAATGCATAATCAAACCTCTAAGGCAGGCATACTTAGATAAGTGAAAAAATGTAAACAGCAGATGCATTATAACAAACAATAAATAGCATGCCAGTGGGATACGACTTATCGATTCCCACCTAAGCCTCACATTTTTTAAAACCAAGTCTTAACATATATTTTATGTTTTCTTTAGCTTCTTGCATATTTGTCTCTCTGCCATAATCAAACTGCAAAAATGGCAAATATTAATAACACTAGCAGGCATTAGAAAAAACTGGCAGTACTGCTATCAAGTAGCCAGACATCTTTATGTAACACGTTTTCCACAATACAATCAATTCAGCGAATGCTGTAAAGATGTAAAGCAGTATGTGCCGATCAGTGGCAACCCTCCCTTACTGTTTTCTTCCCATGACATCAATATGAAGACATTAAGAGCTTTTCTGTGATGTTGGTCCAGCATGCTAGTAACTTAACACTGAGATTCTTCTCCACGAAATTCAAATCTGTGGCATAACTGATTTGATCCCTTGCTAATAGGGACCCAGCTACAGTATATGGCACCAGTGAGGTAATAGCTTGCACGTAGTGCCTCTGAACAGCTTGTGATATGTTTAGAGGAACAGCACACGAACAAAAGAAAGTTACACATTGTTCACAACTGCAACAGCAAAGTCAAAGTCCAGGCGACATACTGCTGAACAGAGAATAGTACAGCCTCAGTTAGCATAGTATCATATGGAATTGAGCACTTTCAGTGGTCTGTATTTTCAGTCTTGGACTAGCAGGACTCACACACTGTTGGGGTTGTAACAGAGCATGTTTAATTGCAGGTTTTCATCCCAGTGTCTGAGTATGATGAAGAGCTGGTTGGCTGCAGCCTTGATGGAGGCTAAATCACGGCCTTCTGGGATGTCCTGTGCACTCAACCACAAGCTGGCCTTGGCAGCTACCAGTTCCCACTCTATGAAATAACTGGCAGAGCTGTGCTCCAGCCAGGCAAGGGCCACAGCTGTGGCCCACACCATGCTTTCTGGATCCAGCCTCCCCTTAAGGCCACCGCCAGGTGATGCTGTTTCCAGACCTCCTGAGCCAGAGCTCCACCTACTGTCCACCTGGGAGTGTGGGGAGACCAGGGGCTCAGCAGTGGTGGATGGTCTTCCTACTGAGGAAGGACCAGCATCCATCCAGGCACTCCTGGACACATGAGAAGGGCTGTAGGTGCCCATAGTGTGCTCTGCAGGCTGCGGATATGTTTCAGGCTCACACGGTGATCTGTACCCCTCATCGGTACGCTCAGTGCGGTGGCTGTTGGAGTGAGACAGGTGGCCCAGGCTGGTGCGGTGACTGGCGAAGGGGGATGTCCACTTCAGTTTGTCCATGGGCACATTAATGGCATCACACAGAGCTGTGTCCAAGGGAAATGCACCACTAGCCAGTTGTAACAACACCTGCATAGCAAGGAAACAGTTTATCTTTAACCTTTAATCAGCAGCGTAATGGTTCTTGTTGAGGAAGGGGGTTGCATTTCAGCCCCTGACTTTTTCTTTTAGTTGTCTGTAGTGTTTTTAGTCATGACCATCAATAAAATATAAACTGAAGGAGCATTCAGTGTGTGCTAATGACTATGGGTCATCATTTGCTGCAGTAGCTGGGGGTGAGGTGCCTTCCTATAGGACACCTGTATGGTGGTTGTTATAAAAGGAAAAATAATTTTGAGGCAGCTATTCTGATCTTTTTTGACACACTTTCTCCCGATTGAATCAATCTCCTTTGAATTTGGAAAGTGGTGAATAATTCATGAAGGAGGTGGCATGCACTGCATAATTAGAGCCTTCTTCAAGGTCTTGGTGTTCTCAGGGAGAGGCAGGCTTTTATAATATTGAAGTCTAGACACTGCTTTAGTCTCCCAAACAAAGGTTTGGGAGAGTTAATGCAAGACAAAATGTCTTTCAGTAACTGCATGGTTATCAGTTTACCAATATTGCTGTTCACCTTACCCCTCCAATGCATCTTCCGTCTATCTATTTGGCTCCTACCCACCAGAGAAATGTAGTCTTTGTTCTCATTGTCGCTCTCTCCAATTGAATCACCAGACTTGCTTTGAGATCGACACATGAATCCTTTGGCAGCTCGAGTCAGCAGACGGGTCCTGCTGAGGGCCAACCTGACAGAGGACAGGGAGAGGTGCGTGTGAATCACAGTGCGCAGCAGCACAATATCATCTACTGCTTCCATTACAATAGAAACTACTTATTTGGATTATTTATTGGACTACTTATTTGTAGACTGATTTACATGTAATAGAAATCCAATACATTAAGGGTAATGAGGATTTTTAGCCATTCTAGTAGCAATGACGGTCAATCCACAACTTTGGTACAGACTGAAATATCTCAACACTGTCATGATATTTTGTTCATTCGTGGTATTTGTAATCTTGGTGATCCATTAACCTTTCCACTGTCACTGCAATCAGGTAAAATTTCAAAATGACCAAATAACTGAAACTCATGACATTCACTCTCTTCAGCTGTTCATTGTGTTTAGAGCTAATTAGCAGTGTGGAGCGAGCTACTTTAAAACTGTAAGCACTTACTCATTATGTATCACTCACTAAAAAAAACTGCTGTGCCTAATTGGACCAGTATAGTCCATCAAATCTGTTTTTTTTATTTTCAGACAGCTTATGACTCCCCTTACCCCACATCTTTCTGACAGAGCAAATAGGGATGCTGTGTCTGACAATCTGTAACTTTCCCAAAGCAACAATATGGCAGTCAGTCATGGTAAAAACTAGTTACTAGGCACAGCCTCACAGAGCTGCTAGCATGACTAAAGACCTCTATTTTCAAAAGGGAAGGAACTGTCATTCATCAATATCCAGTCACAAATGTTCATGAAATGGTGATCAAACTTGAACCTCAAGATAAGATTCTCTAAAAGTCATTGTCACCTGGCACAAACTGATTAAAATGAAGATGTTAGTGTGTAGTGATTGAAACTGCAGTTAAAAAGAATGCTGAAGTCCCTGTGTTTGCTCATGTTGTATCGTGATTATGCCACCAGGCGTCGGTCTCCAGGCACCCACCTGGCAGAAAAAAGGCTCTCCACCGATTTCTGTGATTGGTCAGAGGTCACAGACGGACTCCTTTGAGAGACTTGGAGACAGAAGCATAGTTAGACAAGGACAGGAGAGACAGAAAGAAGCAATGGCATTTTATTGCACTTCCCTCTTTAGTTCTCAACATGAGTCTCACATAATAAATAGCTAAATACACCTACTGAGCTGTGACAACAGAGGACACATATTCCAGCAGCTGTCTCTCCTTTGTAGGTGAAACACTTCTTTGTGTGTATTTGCTATGGGCATTTTTTTAAACAGCCCAGGCAGCGTGTCATCACTTACAAAAAGAGGGACTAAAATGTCAGTAATCTCATATTTCACATTCAGAGAAGAACAACAATGTTGCCCATAAAATGACAAGAGATGGAGAGAGATGGTTTATGTCAAAAGATCTTTGTGGAGGATCATTGATTAGCTTCAGCAAATTCACTGACTGGCTGCTGTGTTGCACTTACCTTCTGTGAAGCTACATCTCTCCCAGCCAGAGGAGGACGGGGTGCTGCACGGAGAGACAACATCCTCTCCACCTGGGACGATGAGAAAAAAAGACTTACTGTAACTGGCAGCTGTCCCTGATTTTATTTATTTAGCTTTTTCTCAAAAACCTAACTAGACATTGTTTTGATGAACAAAGACAACATTGTCATGCACCGCTGATGCAGCTCAGATGCATCTGAGCCCACTGGGCATCTTTTTTAACTGGCAGTGCCAAACAGATGTTCAAGCAGTGTGCTAGTTACTTGCTGTTGTTGCTATGCCACCACTGCAAACCAATTTGTGCTGAAGTTGGACTATTTTTAATGTAAAGCAGCACACAGCTTTCTTAGTGCTCAGCATCTCATGGCTCCCAGTTCTGCCGATGCATGACTAAAGGGTGCTTTTCCATTTCATATAAATACATGAACATTAATCTTCCAACCTTTCTCCAAAGAATTCTGTTTCTTTTAACATGTACTCACTATAAGATCCCTTCTACCTTCCTCCAGCTTCTCTCTCTTTCCGCAGTACTGTATTACTCATTGATTAAACCTTGTTCCATTGTTTACATATGTGGAACTGAAAATGTGGGCTAAAAATAAAAAGCAGCCTACTGTTCATCTGAACATCTTCAGCTTCCTCCGCTGTGCCACCAGACTGTGAGCGACCCAGTCCAATGGAGTATCCTCTGCTCTTCCTGCTCCCTGAACGAGAGCTGGTGCGGGAGCCCCTCTTCAGACCTTCACCTGAAACCAAAATGTTTAAGGAGGCAGACAAGGGCCATTTTCAAGCTGGCTTTTGTCTTTGTTGTACAGTTTGAAAGTGTTTGAAGGCGAATATATTTCAGGTCTAGGTTTTAGATCAAGCCAAAGTCATCGTTTGTGGCCCTCATGTATGTATATATCCTAGTCACAGAGGTAACTGGTAGATACCTTTTAAGAATGTTTTCATGTTTCTCTCAAGGAAAATAGCACTAAGGTCACAAATTTCTTCAAGTTTAGTCTAAATAGGCAGATACAGGTAAGTGTCTTGTAAAGTCAAAAGGTATAAAGTACCTAAGAGCGCCATGTCAGAGATATCCACAGTGGCCACACTGACATTTAAAAGTAATAGTTTGACATTTTGACTAATACGCTGCTTCGCTGTCTTGACCAGGAGCAGTGAAATTCTGGATTCTCCACTGGTTGTCCCACAGCTTCACTGCTCCCAACCAAGAAATAGTCCGGCACAGAGACATAACATGTTTAGGGCCATATCTTATAATTATTTTCATTGTCAATTAATCTGTCAGATGTTTTTTGATTACTTGATTATTCATTTGGTCTATGAAATGAAGGAAAAAAAAACGTGAGAACTCCCAAGTTTTAAGGGCCCAAGGTGACTCTCTCAGATAACCTTGTCAATAAACTAATTCAATGAGTTTCTCTGTAATTATGAATATTTTAACATAGACATTCACCTGTCAACCACTGAAAAAAACACTAGAAGAATAAATTTCCTAGATTGTCCTGTATTTCAACCAGCATGGCCTTTGTCGCCCGTTTTTTTGTTTCTCTATGTGCAGCATGTTTCACTATCTGAGTGTTTGTGCTTCGCAGCATTCTACATAAATGCTGTGCCTGTGTTGTCAAAGTTTATTAATTTGCAAGTGCTTTTTTAAGTTGCAGTGAGTCGCACTCTCGGACTCACTGTAGACAAGCCTTTATTTTGAATGTCCCCTGCTCCCTAATTAATGCAGACTGAACACCTCCTCAGTGTTTCCTGTTGTCTCGATAAATTCAAAGTAATATCCGTTTCCAAAGCACTAATTCCATCAGTAAAGCAACAACATCAGGACTGCAGCAAAGAAGAAACTAAGAAACGGGTTAATCCACCTCCATCATTCCCACCTTTTAATTGTTTATGACTTTTTATTGCCACCTTTTATATGAGAACTGATTCAGCTTTAAAACAAGCTTTAGAAATGTGTTGCTGATTTTTACTTACTTTATTTACAGTGTCAGGTTTCTGTTTTCTCCCCTTTCTGGTTTTTAACCATCAGAAAGAAAGTAAATATGTGTATTTCTCTATGTCAAACTGTGACAGACCTTTAATGGGCGTAATTTTACACAAGAGCATACTGCAGTACAACATAGAAGATAACTTTACAGACAGCACTCTCTGGCTTATAACTGCTAAATGACAAGTAGAAGTTCAACCTAAAGATGCTGTTCCAGGTTATCTTTTGTCATATGGACAGAGGACTGAACACTGGGCTGTATAAGGACTTCCTGGCATTAAATCAAATTAACTTACCAGAGTTTATGTATTCAATACATGTCTGCAAATATTCATTGGTGTCCAAGTCGATGGGAACAAGCGCTGTGTATTTGCTCAGTATATTGCAGGCTTTGCTGGTGTGAATAGCATAGAGCTGGTACTTCCTGCCAGAGCCTGTGAATTATAATAAACATTAAATGATTACATAACATGTAATAAAAAATCCATAACATTAAATGACACTGTAAAAAACCCAATAAAACCACAATATGTCATTTTAACACTTCAGTTTTTAAATGTATTAAACTAACAATATGCTTCATAGTGAGCTTTAGAGATGCTGGTAGACAGAGTATGTTACCTTGGGACACAATCGTAGCTGTATCCCCTTGTGTCCAGTCTTTATGCTACACTAAGCTAACTGTCTGCTTGCTGGATCTTCATATTAAACAGACAAATGAGAGTTGTACCTTTATGCTACACTAAGCCAACTGTCTGCTTGCTGGATCTTCATATTAAATAGACAAATGAGAGTTGTACCTCATTTAACTCTTGAAAATAAGCAAATAAATGCATTTCCTAAAATGTTGAACTGTTCTGTTAAAGCTTTATTTCTAAAACATGAAAGTGAAATTGTCAGAGGGTCTACATCTGTTGTGTTTGTGTAATCTTAAAATCCTCTACATTTACTCAAGCATCCCCAAATCCTTTCATAAACCCTTGAATCGGCGTAGAGCTCACCATGCTCAATGTCACACTCCTTTTCCACCATGTGCTCAAAGTCGTGTATGATGGAGCACCCAGCCAGGTGGTGGAAGGTCTCGTTCCACAGATCCTCATGAACCTTTTCCTCACGCTCCCGTCCATTCAGGAATGGCTCGATATCAAAAGCCACCTCCCACTTCATTGGTTTCCCGCACAGCAGTCCAGACACCACAGCCTTGCAGTTCCCTTTGTGCTGGTTGGCAGCACCCTGATCTGAAGTCTGGGTCTCCTGTGGAGTTTCTGCTTGACATAACTGGTGCCCATAACCATCTGAAATATCACAGCAGCAAGACTTGGTTTCTGAATGTGCATTTATCAGTCACACTGTGTGCTCTTTTCAACTTACCTGCTACTGCTCTTGCAACTGGATTTTTGCTGAATTAATCCATAACCTATGTTTCTAAAATGTTCTGTGTTCACTCTCTTTAAGTGGACCTCAAATAACTGTTATTCATCACCTTGATAATGTTTTGTCCATCCACCCATCAATTATCTATACCATTTATTCCTGAATAGGGTCACAGGGGCAATGCAATAGTTATATATTTGGGGAAATCTGCTTATTTTTTTCTAGACCATGAGAGTGGGAGTTAGATGAGAAGTTCAATACTTCTGATATATCTGAGTCCAATTAGCTTAGCTTAAAGACTGGAAACAGTTGAAAACAAGTGAACAGGTTCTGTCCAACCAACACCTCTGAAGCTGGCTAGTTAAAATAGTATAGCTCATTTTAATCTGTCCAAAAATCTAATTTATGAGGGGTTGTGTTGGATCAGACTATTACTAATAGGTTGGGGTTGTGCTGAAGTCTGTTTCCCCATCAAACCTAACTCTACCCAGAGATTTTCTTCAGTACCTGAACCCAATGCCAGCCAGTAATCTCAGCTAATTATTCGAGGGGAACTGTCTCCTGGACCCCATCCCGACCAGGCTGCTCAAAGACATCTTTCCCCTAATCAACACATCCATACTAGATCTGATTAACCTCTCTCTATTAACAGGTTATGTTCCACAGGCTTTTAAACTTGCAGTAATTAAACCTCTACTCAAAAAGCCTACTCTTGACCCAGGTGTCCTAGCTAATTATAGACCAATATCCAATCTCCCATTTATTTCCAAAATCCTTGAAAAAGCTGTAGCAAAGCAGTTATGTGACCACTTGCACAAGAATGATTTGTTTGAGGATTTTCAGCCAGGATTTAGAGTCCATCATAGTAGGTAGTGAAACCGCATTGGTGAAAGTCACCAATGATCTTCTCCTAGCCTCAGACAAAGGACTTGTCTCCATACTTGTCCTCTTAGATCTCAGTGCTGGGGTCTGTCGGAGGTTTCTTCCGTTAACGGGAGTTTTTCCTCCCCACTGTCGCCAAGTGCTTGCTCAAGGGGGATTTGTTGGGTTTTCCCTATGTAATAATATTGATAACAGTAAGGTCTAGACCTTAGTTTGTAAAGTGTCCTGAGATGACTTTTGTTGTGATTTGGCGCTATACAAATAAAATTTGATTTGATTTGATTTGATTTGAACTTGTCAAGAAAATTTCAGCACAGAGCCTCTCATTACACCACAGCTGGTTTTTATATCTGGGTTTTTTGCACAAACAGTATATGAGGTGTTAATGTGAGCTCTAGACATTCTGGTAGGTGGATTATTTTACTTTCAGAAAGAGCCTGACCTTTTCCAGTCATTACACTAAGCTCCTACATATTTAACTGATAAGAGATTTGTATAAATCTTGTTATCTAACTCTGAGCAAAAAAGCAAATCATGTATTTTTCAAAAAGTCAAACTCCTTCAACAATCAATATTTAGGTTACAAATCACAAATGCAGTTCTTTAATTTCTTTCATGTGTCTGTAAATGTATGAATAACATTCCTACTGGTTGTTTTTCATCTGCATTTGTGTATGCTTGTGGATGTTCAGTAAAAATGTTTTTTTAAAAGACATCTTTAAAATGTTGTATTGCTTTAGTATGTACTGTGCATGTATGTTCACTTAATTGTTGCTTGTGGTCTTACCCGTATCGCCGATGCTGCCAAAAGACGGACTGTCAGCAGAGGATCTGGATCCATCTTCCCCAGATGTGTTGCAAGATGCTAGTGGAACAACGCTGCTGCTGGGCAGAGGGTTGTCCTGAGGCTGGGCATGGAAATGAAGCTCTGAGTCAGCTTCTTGCTGCAGAGTCGGCTCCTGCTGAGGGAGTGGCCTGTGACAGCTGGCAGGACGCTGTTTGGAAGATGTGGCACAAAGGCTCACTAGCTGTGGCTAAAAATAAAAGAATGTTTCTTTAGTTTAAAATACTCCAGCTGTCATTGGTATGGAATCAATGGATTGTACTTAATTTCACTGTAATGCATACAGGGATCTCATGATGCTTACAAACAGAATAGCACATAAAACCAAACTCACTGACCCTCTTCTGAATCACTAATTTCAGCTAGAATTTGCTGTTAGTTGCAAATCTGCACATCATTTGTCCTCTCACAGTAGCAAGTTTTCAGTGAGCCCTATAAATCTGAACATTCTGGATCAGAAGATTTAGAATCAGCAGATCTAGAATCTTCCCAGTTTATGTTTCTATAATTTATGTGCGATTAAACAACAAATAAATAAAAACGTTACTCATAATAATGAGACTTATTGATCATGGCATGGAGGCAATGGATCCTCAGATGTATTTATAGAGAGAAGATATTTCTTCAGCCCAGTGAATTTTGCTTAGTTATATTGATGCTCCCTAAATGATATTCAGATGTAGTTACAATTCATAAATGTTGGCCTTTATTTCCAGGGAGAGCAGACTGGTCTGATGTTGATTAAACATCAGTGCAGACAAGGGTCAGATGGCTGAATACCAATATCATTTTTCCAGATACAAAGAGTCACCAGCTGTTATAACAGTACCAGACTGTGACTTATTTCACGTCCCTGTGTATGCTTAAACATATGTTGAATGTGTATTACTGTTATTATGAAATCAATTACAGTTTGGAAGCCCTGGTTTGAGATCTCTGAGTTACAAATAAAATTATAAACTAAGAGGCTGTTGATCCAGTTTAGTAACTGGACCAGTGCAGATCATCTTAAAAGCAGTCATGTGAACGTAATGCTTCACAATGTGGGACCACCTGGTAGTCATTCCTCCACTGCACCTCGTGCTCGGGGCTCATCTGGCCTATCAGCTCCTGGACCTTGGCTCTCCTCAGTGGATTCTTTGGCGCCACAGAGCTGGGGTCACTGGGAGTGTAGAGCTTCTTTGCTGGGTTATAGTCTGTTATTTGATTGGTACTGTATGCACGCCTTCTTGGAGATGACTTGTCCAGCCCTAATGTTTGGTTCAAAGATAAAATTAGTGTACACATATTGTACAAAACAATACAGTTACTGGTATGACAATGTCACCAGAGAGAGAACATGAACACTGGTGGCAGGATCAGATAATTAGTTCAGTTAACGACCTCAACAGCAATATAATAATGATAAGACACACTTGATAGAGTGTACACTCAGGTCCATTCTGAGTGGACCCATTAAGACTTCTGCTTCACACTTTATTCTAACACTTCTCTCAGACCAGTGACATACAGGTTGATATAATGCACTGATAAACTTTAACATAAGAAAATGTCCTGGTGAAGACATCTTTGAACTATTGATCCTTTGACTTACTATATCTTTTATACACATTTCATAAATTGAGCCTTTACTTCAGCCAAAATCCCCTCCATACTGAAGAGCGCTCAGGTACTCCACCACATACCAGCAGTAGGGGCTCTTGGTAAAGGACATCTTAATTTCAATAAGACACCGTATTTTAAATAACTAAAGTACAATTATGTTTATGCTGCATCTGCTTAAGATGAGTCACAGTGGAACTAAAATGGCAAAAGGTAACTGGACTGCACTTGTACAGTGCTTTTCTCCCTTAATTTCAAAGTGCTTTACAGTTACTGCCACCCATTCATCCTCACTGACACATTGATGGAAACTAGCAATAAGAACCCACAAATTAAAATTTAATGATTGTAGTCTAAGCAATTGGAAATCCCCTCATTTAGGAAATATTGTACAGTATGTACTGAAAGGTCTCACCCCTGATGTCTTGGTCTGTGGTGACAAGGCTGTCGTCTGTCATGGAGTCCAGGTAGAATTCATGCACAGGTCCAGAGGGTGTCTCCCTGCAGGAGCCCTGACTGTCGACACCTGTCTTCACCGGGTCCTCTTCTTGAGAATGGTAAAACACCGAGCTGGCTGACTCAACAGAGCGCATCATGCTATATCTCCTCCTCTTATCCTGTTAAGATTTTGGGTAGGTGGCACATCCGAGACAAGTGCTTCAGTGAAGACCCATTAACAAGGTCTGATTAAAAGGTCACTTTATTTCCCATAGAAGGCATTTTAGAGGTAACAACAGAGATTTAAGTGAAGTCACTGATCAGACCAAACATCAACCAGATAGTATAATCTGAAGTTCCTTTTTTGAAATATTCACAGAGTCGTCCTGCACGTGGTTATATGTCACTTTACAGCAGGTGTCTTGCACTTACAGATTTGGGGTTGGTGTGGTAGCGGGGGGTGTCGCAAACCACACTGTAGCCAATCAGACTGTCCCCTGGAAACAGGAAGGTGTTGCCCACAGGGGACAGCAACACTTCTTTGGTCTCAGGAAAAAGCCATTCAATGGAAATGTCGCTGAGTACTGGAGACATGGTTTTCTTCAGGGACTTTATCATCTGTAGAGTGAAAATGAGCAGACTAAAATAGACTTTTAGATATAAAACACAGCTTCTCCCTGACCAGCACATAATGTGAATGGCATCTCTGAGATATGATTTCATAATTGGTATCAGTGACAGACACTCAGTGTTCTGAACCCACAGCATAATGACTCTCCAGTGGCCCTCAGAATAGCTGGCTGTCATTAGAAGTGATAGGCTTACACAAAGCTGGAAACGAGTACCTTGGGTTGCAGCCTCTCTCCATCAGCCAGAAACTCTGCTGTTCCTTTAGAAACCGTCGCCAGACCCTGCACCAGCCTCCTGCAAGTTTTCTGCCCTATGCCAAATGTAAAACATCTGCACAAGCATATTAAAAACCGCAGCTCCATGAACAGATCGAGACATATATGAGCATGATAAAAGGAGTCTTTGCACATGTCACAGAAATCTAAAGAGGTGCTGTGAAGGTATATCACCTAAAAACAATAAAACAATTTGAGAAATAGCCGGGAGAAAAACCAGGAAATTATCTGTCATGGTTGAAAGCTGAAACATGCCCGGTGCTTCTTAGAGTTCTTCGGGAAGGTTGGGAGATACTTTATTCTATCATTTGTATTCAGTTTTTCACTGAGGGATGACCTGGCTCATTTTATTGCACCAGCTAACCTATGCATTTTTAATAAGATCTTTGAATGCAGATTAAAATGTAACTGTCACATAGTTAAAAACCTAACATGGATTTTGTGAAACAGATCATTGCGTCCATTGCTGTTTGATCTTGTCTCTGACTAGCTGTGCTGATTTGCAAGCATAGTGTGATAATGACCCAGGAAGTGTCAATGAACTGGCCAAGCTCCGTCTATCTAATGCAGTCATCTGGGGGTAGTCGTCCATTAAAAGGAGGAAGACAAAAGTCAGTTATTTTCACAGTGACGGGAGAGGGGCTCACACTGTGAGACTTAGATACAAGCAGTAATATAGAATGAGTCCATGTGTAGCTGCTGTTTGCATTGTGCAGGGAGCATTCTTATGTCCTTATTCTAAATGTAGTCTGCAGGCATGTTGCCTTTCTGATAGATTATTTGTAGTGACATATAGTGTCTGACACAGACACCATATAAGATGTGTGTGTTTCATTTGAGAGGATTATAACTCATAACCAGGTGCTGCATTTAAATCCCTGTCAGTCCTGACATGTGATTTTAATTTCATCTAAGCTCTGCTTTTGTTATTTGCATAATGAGCTTTGCTTTGACACAACAAACAGTAGCTTCTTCGCCTGTACTGTTGCTACAACAGTGGTTTCTAATAGACTTAGACTTGATTCATTCATAATAGCCAGGCTGCTACCTCAGACAGATATCCAAGTCAGTTTGACATATGTGCAAACATTCAGCAGCAAATGTGACCTTTTGTAATGTGTTTAGAGGCCATAACAGATTCTGGCTACACTTCATATATTCAGCGTAGTGCCTAAGTGTGTTAACAGTTATACTTGCCTGATGTAGCGTGCATGGCTGCGAACAAGTGCGATAACTTTGCCTGTGTTGCTGACGGCCCCATCTGTTAGTAGGAAGAGCAGGCGTGGATGTCCACTGAACATCGGCTGCCTCAAGATCCAGTTGAGTGGTGCCAGGATGTTGGTCCCCCCCATGTCGGCTCTGAGCTTTCTGACATACTCACAAGCCAGGGCCAGGGCCTCCTGGATCGCCATGGTGAGGAGGAGGAGGAAATATAAACTCAGGTTTCTTGACTTACAGCATTTTACAGTTGCTTTAGTTCAATTTTCACAACAGAGTTACCGTAACACAGCATGCTAAACTCACCCAGTACACAAACTGAAAATATACACTCCCGGCCACTTTATTAGGTACAACTGGACAACTGTATGCACTTCAGTGCAACACTTCTACCTTAATTAATGTTAATATCAATGTTCCTAATATTCTGACCCTCTCATGTATGTAGATGGGGAGGACAAAATATAGACACCACCATTTTGTTCCAGCTTCTAAACTGAGTGGTTCTGATGTCTTTCTTAGTTTCATATCATTCTAGACAATATATTTACACATAGGGTTGTTCAGGTAAGAAGAGGACATTTAAGATGTTCTGGGAAACTGTGATGACATTTCACTGTCTTATGACGTTACTTAGCTAAAATTTGACTGGAGCCAATTCCAGCTGACTTTTGGTAAGAGGTGGGCTACACCTGGACAGGATTTCAGTCTGTAACAGGGCTAACACACAGAGACAGACAACCACTCACACTCACACAATTTAAAGCTGCCAGTTAACTTAACCTGCATGTCTTTGGACTGTGGGAGGAAGCTCGAGTACCTGAAGAAAGCCGACATAGAAGGGCCCCATGATGCAACTAAATAGTGTCTTTCATTATTTAACAGAGCTCCTTTACCTCCTCATAGTCCTGGCTGGTTGTGAACAGTGATTTGAATGTGGAGCCGAAACCTATGATGTTGAAAAGGCAGCCAGGCACAAGGCTTTTGAGAATCACCACCATGGCATCCTGGAAAGAGACCGAGAGCAGATTAAAACTAACCAAAAACAAAGGCTGTGAAATCCAAATTTCTTAAATTCTAAAAATAAATGGCTAAACTCCTCTCCTCATTAGGCGCTTAATGTCCTGTGGAATAATTTGATCATTTCCACAGCAATACAGCTATGAGCGCTGATGTCGAATGGAAGTGAGGTGCCCGTCGCTGCATAGCAGATTTTCCTAAAAGGAGGAGTGAGTGGCGCGTGGGATCTCAAAATATCATTTAATCTCTTGCTGCCTCTTTTTTTTTAGAACAATACCACTTATGTCAACCTCCATTCAAGTGAAGAACACCAATATCACATCATTATCAGCCATACATTCTATAATAAAAGGCCTGTACATTAACAAAGGAAAAGTTCAACATATAAGGCTTTAGTTTTTAAAGATATTTTTAAAAGTATCCTGCAGGATTTTTCAGAAGCTCAGTGATAAATAGTCATTACATCACGTCCCGACCCTGTAACATGGCTCACAACCAATAAAAGGGTCTGAGTGACAAACAAACAACATCATATCACAGGACATGTCAGTGCACAAGCAACCAATGTGAAAACATATTAAAAACTATCACCCCTGAATGGTCTTGAGTCGGTTCTGTGGGTATTGATGAAACATCACATGAACTCTGCTAAGACCTGAAAGATTTGTTGTCTGAATCCTAGCAACTAAGATGTTTGGCGAATAGTGATCAATATCCTTGTGTACATGCCCTTCGTACTGTTGGCTAACCACATTTATAATCTGTGCAGACTGAGGAATCAGAATGTCTGTGAGCCTGTGAAAAGCAATTATGCAGCCTCTAAAGACGTGTGTATATCTGATATGTTTGGTGCCAGCTCCAACATGATTCAACTAATTTGGTGTAATTTGCAAATCTTTAAAGGGTGATAATGTGAGATATATTAAAATTAATATGAAACTCAGTGTGTGTATATTTGCAGCTGCATCTAGAAAAGAAATAGAAGACTACACTAAGACTGAAATACCTTCACACGGTTGATGTTAACCCCGCTCATGCTACCGCTGCGGTCAATGAGGAAGATAAACTCGCCATGAACCTTCTTCAGGTCTGAGCTGATAGATTTGAGGTCTGGACAAAAGTTCAACATCACGACAGGGTTGTGGAGGATGTCCTTATGGAGTCGCCTGTGAATTATTTCTACCTACAGTATAATTACAGAGGAAGCAAAGAGAAAGCATGAGTTAAAGGGGAGTTCACTCACTTCTGTGAAATTGTGCAGGGTTTAATTTCACATTCAAAGAAGGCAAAAAAAGGAGAGAGAGAGATAAAAAGAAACAAGTGATCAGGTCAAGAGAAAGAGCCCATCAATTACTGGAGATGTGCAAGAAATTTCAGGCAGAATGTGGCGAGCCTTTGGAGTGTTTCCATAGAAACCCATTTTTATGGCTAAGTGCTCTCTCTCACTCTCCTGTTTAGGTCTACTGGTCACTTAACAACCCCATCACAGCTGAGATGTGAATGAAACACATATGATTCTCATAGGCGAATAAGCAAAGCTACACAACAAGGCAGGGTGAAAAACAATAATGCCAATCAGATCTCAGTATTGCCAGACTGAGCACTTTTCTACTTTTCCTTTACATGAAAAAATTAGATTTGTAATAATAGGCTACTTTGGTTATATTCCAGATGTCCTCTTTAGGGTGAGTAACATGCTGCTCATGGAGGCAATTGTGGTAGCGTACATCTAGGTTTAGACATATTGTACATATTGTTAGGTTCATTGTCTCCAATCTCTACTGCAAAGAAACGCCCGTTAAAAACCAACACTCCTTATTCTTACCCCCTAACTTGTCTGAGAAACCATGTTTTGTTGACCTTTCATCAGTACAAAACTAATCCAGTGATAGCTGTCTGTACATTCCTGGGTACACTGAAAACAGAAACTGCTAATAGGTAATTCAGTATATGTAATTCTCCAAAATGTTAACTAATATAGATTTTAAAAAAATACTCACTGCTCAATTTACTGCCCACAGTGTAACTCGATAAATCTATGGAAACTTTGGCTACTTCCTGAAAACATTTTCTCAAGCTAAATACTATGTTGTACAACTACTTCTGTTGAGGATCGCGAGGGGACTTGAGCCAATTCCAGGTAACACCTAAAAGCAATATCCCCTGACAGTTTAACCCTCAACATATGATTCCTGGACCATGAAACCTGACCCCTAGCATTCTGAAGCATATTGATGTTATTAGTGTGAAAGATATTCAAGAAGAACAATATTTCACTGACAGTTTTGTCATTAGTGTCATTTCTGTCAGACTTGTTGTCTACTGAATCAGCAGAGTTTCAGCTAGTTGTAAGTCTAAAGCAACATTTGTTGTCTCACAGTAGTGAATTTTCCATGAGCCCTAAAAATGTGAATATTCTGGAATGGCACATGCAGAATATTAATTGGATCCAGATCAGGCTTCATTGTGCGGTAGGTCAAATGTTATGGGAATGTTATCTTGCAGTTTTTGTCCATGCATTATGTATGGGGTTAGAAGCAAAAATATTGAAACTGGCCCTATGTCACAATGGCAAAGAATTTTAAAAAAGAATCTCTGGATCCAGATGATGATCCGGATCAGCACCAAAATCAAATCCAAACGGATTGGTCCATGTTCCATTTCACTACCTCTATAAAAAAAATGCCAGCACAAGCCATTCATTAGCTTTTGATTTATGCTGTGCAAAACACAACAAACACTGGTAAAAAAGAAAAAAAAAACAACCCTCCGTGGTGGAGGTAATAAGAAATAAGTTTTAATCTAGGTGTAATTAACTGAAATGACATTTTGTTTTGTTGGTCATTCGTTATCAGTCAGTGCATGTTGATCTGATCCTACTGAACTCAGCACTCGGTCATTCTCAGTCACTTTAATCAGAGAGGAAAGGCCTGTTTATTGGAACACAGGTCAACCTTTTGTCTGCAGAAACCAACCAAATGGTACAAAAGCAGCCCACACGACTGCGACCGGTGCAAATCAAATTTTACCTCCCTAATCAAATGAAAAGTTGCCTGATTAGGCAGAAAACCCCAGATCTCACTGGTTCTGACTTCTCCCATTTTAGGGCAAAGAGTGCAGAACTGTCTGAACTCTTTCCTGATTTTTAATGAAATTTGAAACTCTCCATATTTCATGCGACTTCCAGAGGAGGTGGACACAAACATCTGCAAAAGAGATCACAATGTTCAGTTGTTGTTGAGACCATGTCAGATGGGAGCTGATTCAAACCTAGTGATACTGAAACCACAGCGTGTCCCATCGTTGTATTGGCTGGGACTAAATTGGAAGGTATAACAAAATAATGTGACAACACCACTGTCTGTGACACTATGCAATTGAGTAGCCTTTACCACTCTCCTCAAAACGATATTGGTCTCGAGGAGGCCTTGTTTGAGCTTTTGTTGTCATTATATCAGGCACACTCACTTTCTTCTCATTGCTGGAGTCCTTCTTGGTGGCCTTGATGAAATCACTCCGGCTGTGAATGTACTCATCATACTCCTCCTGTGTCATATCTCCGTTCTCAATGAGTATGTGTGGCAGATGAGGCTCTGAAGTGACACAGATGGTCAGGACAAAGACATTACTATATTTTTACAGACAGATTGTGAAACAGATGGACAAAGTGACACTTGGTAGCAGTGTGGGAGGTGCATGGTAATGTGCTGAATTAACATCATATTGACATAAAAAAAAATTAAAACAAAAAGGACCTCAGAGGGCTGAGTGAATCATAGTGAGCTGAACGGTTTTCCAGTCCTATACATTTAATTTATTGACATGAATTATAAAATGTCTGTTTTTATGATCGTTCCATGACCTCTGACCTCATAAAATTCATGTGGACCTTCAGTGTATTTAAGTGGTTCATTTGTGAATCTATTCATTTATCCATTTCCTGTTGCTTATCCAGGTCATATAGGTTAATTAAGGCCTTTACTGGGAAATATTGTTATATACTGATGAGAAGCTGTGACAAAAACATGATATGAATGTCAATAAATTCAAGCACCCAGGTTGTAATAACTCCTACTCGTTATTTATATTTGGACACTATTACCATAAAACAAGTATTATATTGGATTTTATGTGGAATTAAAATGTCTCAGATTTAACTTGGTGAATTTATATGACCTGCAGCCTGTGCATCTGGCCGTGAATCATTCAAGCTAATAATAAAAATACACAGTTACTTTATGCGTTTGTTTGTTCCGTTTTGTTTGCAACACACATGCATGCCTGTAATACAGCTCAGTTTCTTCCACCTCTTTACTCAAGTTGAGCATCCATACTGGGACTGAGACTGCAGCAGCAGTCTGAGCTGAGCTAAATTGCCCAGCATTGGCCGCAGGTCTGTTTGTGAACAAAGCCTTCATAAGAGGCTGCTGGATCAGCAAGCCGGAGCTCAATCCTGCCTCTGGGAGACAACTGGCCCACACATACTGTAGGTCAAGACAACACTGAGGGAGAGGCGAGAACACAAGGAAAATCAACCTGACACTGCACACCCACACGTTGGCATTTCTCTGCTGGAATGTGATGCATTAATAATAGGAGGACACATACAAATAAAGCTTAACACAATAAATGATGGAAGTGAAGCTTGACAGAGCCGCAATAAACTATTTCAAAATATTGTACTTGAGAGGAAAGAAAGACTAATTGCGGGGCCATGCTGTGAGTGTGCTTTTCAGTACTGAGGTGTACGTTACCGCTGGGGTAGATGAGGATTTTGACAGGACAGTCGTAAGTGTACTTGTCTGCCAGAGTGATGACGATGCTGGTGGCAGAGCGGGCCAGAGGGTCTGCATCAGCTCGGATGGCATGAGAAGGGCTCTCTACACCTGCACAGAGCAACGACCACGGCTGATCAAATAACCGGTGGCTTTGCCTTCTGTGTCAGTAACTAATAATAAACTAGCAGGTCCCAGAGAAATGGCTCTAATTTACAGTATACAAGCAAACTGACTTGTGTACTGATGCTGCAGTTTGAGCAATATCCTGAATGAAGAGTAACTAATTATATATTGTTATGTAATTTTGTTATGCTCAAATCAACACATTTTTAAGTTTATAGTAAAGGAATAGTTCAAAAATGTAAAAACTTACTTTCCTCCTTGTTAGATGAGAAGACCGATACCACTTTAATCTCTGTAGCATAAATATTAGGCTACATTTAGGATGTTCTTAGCAAAAAACTGACAACAGGGGAACAGCTAGCCTGGCTCTGTCCAAAACTAACAGTATCTTCCTACCAGCACCTCGAAAGCTCACTGACTGACACATTAGATCGCTTTGCTTATATCATTAAACAAAGGCTGAAGTCAAAACAACAATTTGTGGTTTAACAGGGGGTTCATTTGTAATTATAATGAAGTTGTCAAAAAATGACTCAGGCATAAAACCCCTGCCATTTTTATACTTCAGTGTTACTGGTTAAACAAATTAAATATATCATGTTGACACTGGAGGTCTGGCAGGTGGATTGCTTTACCTTAGAACAGAACCAGGCAGGTCTTTATCCTCATCAAACCATTGCCTGCTTCATACTGACAGTGGTATCTTCTCATCCAACATTCGATGAAAAAATTAATAAGCATATTTTCCAAAATGACATTTTCCTGTTCTTCCCTGCAGGATGCATCGCAATTACGATTTCCTACTGCAGATGTGAAAGCTGTCAATGAGTGCACTCAAACGTAACCATTATACACACTCACAAAATCAGTATTCCACAGTTGACAGGTGGCTTTGCCCTAATAGTTCGCTGACCTGCAAGGAGATAGGGAGCCCGTATCTCCAGCTGGAAGTTAAATTCATAGTCCATTGAATTGATGGCCTCCTCCTCCAGCAGTGAAGCCAACCACAGCTGAGGGGAGCTGGGAGTTTGATTATGAGGACTTGAGGCACAGATATGTCTGTCCAACCTAAAAGAGGCAAAGAGCAACTACAAATGGAGCCATCTTACAATAAAGAAACATATAAAATGTTAGAACAGTCAGTTTCCATCCATAAAACATCTGAGTCCTAAAAAGCCAGTTTACAATACAAAATCCAACTTTAAAGACCCCCTCAACTCAAAACAATTATTTCATATTTGTATACCCCATAAATATCTGCTCTCCAATGTACTGACTGGTGTCGGTCAATAACAGGCTGTTTTCACATTCCTCTACTGACTGGGACAGATGAAAGCCAATCACAGTTCAGCTTGCAAATATCCGCAGATTTCAGGAGTGCAGTGAGAAACTTGAAACATCTGGTCAAAGAGGAGTCAGAAGTAACTTTTCACTGTCTGTTGGCAGCAAATGTGCACGATCTTTGGATGTAAACCAGACCCTGGAGCTTCTTCCTACCATTTCGTTAGTTTAAATGAGGCATGTGGCCTTGTTGAGTATTACATTTGGTTCCCTGCTACTAATAGCCCGGTGTCCTGGTTCTCTGTCAGCTGATTACAATTTGGATCATCTTTGAAAATAAAGCAATGCTGAAACATTATTATGAAACATTAACTGGACTGTAAGGATAGTTGGACATTTTACTTAATGACAATGTGAAAACATGGCAAACTGTACAAACCACTAGGGATATGTATGTTTTTTTCTTACATTCTGGAGAAGTTTGGGGACAGCCCCTGCTCCTCGTTGATGGTCCTCTGTACTCGAGGTGTACACGCCGGTGGGGATGACACACTGATGCCCCCGCTGGGCAGGGTGGATAGTTCGGAGGAGGTGCTGACCAGAATATGGACCGTCTCCATAGGAGGGATGAGCCCAAGGTTAACCACTAACACTGTGCTCTCCAAAGCCTCATCCATTACTATATGTCCTGTAACACCAGACTAGATTAGTAAACAACCACATTTTAAAAATTTAGCACAACTTGTAAGACTCTCAAAGTGTCCGAGGTAATGTAAAGCTGTTCAGAGGGAGTGATCTCTGATTCCTTCCTTGATTCTTCATTTTATTCTGGTCTAAACTTCCTAGCACACTCATCTGCTTCACTCTCAGTTACAGCTCTGAGGACAAGTTGGCACCCTGAGCAGTGGTGTTTTAGAGTGTTTCTAATGCTAGAAAACAGATTAAAGCTAGCTGTATCTCTGAAATGACCCCAGCAGATTGCTCTCAGAGTTTATTTTACAGGAGGTATTTCTGTTTGTTTGTATAAGTGAAATAACATTCTATAATGGATTCATGATATCTCATCCCATTGTTCATAAAACAAATATAATAGTGCAGCCAACATTTAATGAAAATGTGTAGGACTTTCAAGTTCCCTCTGAGATTAATCAATGTCTTTAAATCTTGAAAGCAGCAGAAGACTTAAAGTGCTGCTCTAGCAATTTAACATTGCCCTTTAATAAAACTGGAGGACTTGTGAGAGACAGACTAAGGCCTAAGTCTTTGCACCAGAGGCAGAGATAACCTGACTTTGTCTTTTATATGGGTAAAGCTCCAGAAACACTGGATCCTGTATTTTCTACAGTGTATTCAGGGTTCTATTTACTGCCAGGGCAAAGCCAGCAGAGCTTCAAGCACAGTCTTTATGCAATCAGTGGATCACTGTTCATGTGTGAAATTGGTGGAGTGCTCTTTTATTTAGTTTTTTTCAACACAACACTGCACATCCAGCAGAGACAGAGGAACATGAACATTCATTTGTGGCTGATAAATGCTCTCCTACGTTCACTAGGTTGCTGAGAGCAGTGAGAGTGAACCAAAACTCTAAAGTTGTGGGCTGTAAAATCCAAATAATGAGCTGAAAGATGCTGAAATGCCCCATATGAATGTGCGATGCTATTTATTTATTTTCTGCATGGAGATGGGTTTCGACAACAGAGACTGCTGTAGGAGAGGAGATATAAGGTGAATCTATAAAGGTTCCCCACATTTATTAACAGCAAATGGTGCAACGCTGCTCACATACTGTGAAGGAACATCACTGCAGCCCAGATACTGAACTGCTGGCTGTGGGACTATGGCCATACTACATACTGTACATACAGGGACCCTTTCCATAACCTTTGTTTATGTCCCTCCACCCAGCAACCACACAAGACATCCGCTCTGAGGGACAGCAGACAGAAAGTTTTTCTTATTCTGACTCTTAGTGGCTCAGGAGGCTTTTACAGCACAGAGCAGTAGTTGGCATATGACCATGACAGGAAGAAGAAGTAGTTCCTATCAAACAGGTATTATTTAGACTGTGCTGGAAAGCAAAGTTACTGTCTAATGTGTCCCCTGTTGAAGGATGAGCTATACATTACCCCCAATTAGCCTGCTTACACTGAAAGCTTACAGGACATATTTAGAAAGCGTAGGTGACATTTCGACCCCTCGAAGACCAGTGGCTCGAAGTGTTGGCTACACCTAAATATATCACACGTGCTTTCAGTGTGCGATCATTTTTCTCACTTTAGATATTGATCTTTTAATACGGGAATTGATCCTAGAACTGGAAACTTTGAGATTAGAAGTATTGATATTTCAGGATCGATCCACACATCACTGATAGAGTCAAGTGTTCTTTCTCCAAGAGGTCATCAGTTTCATATTACACATAGTTATTTGATCCATTGCTGATACAACAGTATTGATTAGAGCAGCTTTAATCTTACCACTTTGGAGGGCTCCATTAGATGTGTTACAGCAATCCAGGTAACAGTCCTCAATTTTTGCCTTGTCTTTGATTTGCAGTGTTATAATTTGAGTGGATATCATAGCCTCAAACCCCACAACAATGGAATTTTCCTCCAGTGGATAAATAAAGATCCCTAAAATTCAGCACAAGAGGAAAAAAGCAGAAATAAGCACACTAACCACAGGCAGTAAACAAGCAATTATAGTCAATCGATAATTTTACAACAGCATTTCAGCGCATAAGGTGGGTTGAACATTTCTAGGGTCTAGACAGCTGAACTAAACAATTTAATGGTTTACACACTCACCCTCTATTGCACGATCCTCAATATTTTCATAGGTCATAGAGGCTGTCATCGCCAGAGTATAACCCCTGACACAGGACGTGATATCAGAGACACTGAGGGGCAGGGCACTCCGGTTCTCCTTGTTAATGAGTCCAGGCATGGTGCAGGTTTAGGATTCTGATTTGTTGTCACATGTGGAGAAAAAAGAAGAGAAGAAGAAAACATCAAATAATCAGAATCGGCTTTATTCAGAATCAGCTAACAAAAGCTGTGAAACATCAAGTAAAGAAAACCTTTGTGCAGTAACACCTGTCATCTTCCCCCGGTTTGCTGTCTGTCTCTAACTGCCAACTACCAAATGAAGGCAAAGAACAAACAAACTAACTCAACATTTTCTTACAAAATGCTGCAATTAGTAGGACATAGGTGAGTTCATTGTGACCTTACATTTTTACCACCAAAATCTAATTTGTTCATATTTGAGTCCAGGTGAATGTTTGTGCCAAATTTGATCAGATTGGCAGCACTGACCTCAAACAAACTGTGGATCAGACCGACACAATGTTCAGCACCATTTTTTTCCTCATAGAGCTAGTTCAGCTCAGCCATATTCCCATGAGCCTAGTGGTAAAGTGCAGTGAAGGAAGCACCGTGATTTGGGCTGCTTTGTTGCCTCTAGGGCTGGACAGCTGCTACTGTGGAGAGGAAAATGAATTCCCAAGTTTATCAGGGAATCCGACAGGATAATGTCAGAGTGGCTGTCCACCTGCTGAGGCTCAGTAGACGTTGATGCAGCAGCACAGTAACCCAAAACAGTGAAGTGAATTTATTACTGAATGGCTTCAAAACAAGAAAATCAGCCATATGGAATGTCCCAGCTCTCGACCCAGCAGAGATGTTGTGGAATGAGCTCACAGAGCAACCTGGGAATCTGTCTGTGCTGAAACAGCTTTGTGAGAAAGAATGGTCCAAAATTCCTCCTGAACGTTGTGCAGGTCTGATCCAGAGCTACAGGGCTCACCTGCAATGCTGTAAAAGGAGCTTCAACCCATTATTTAAATCCAAGGGTTCACTTACTTTTTCTAACAGCTCTGTGAATAATGGGTGCATTCAATAAAGACATGATGAAGCTAATACTATACAAACATTTATAAAAATGAGTGTTTGTGTGGTATTAGCTTCATCATCATTATCATCAGCCTTTACTTAATCAGGGAAAAACCAGTTGAAAGCAAGCTCTCATTTTCAGTGGGTCCCTGACATACAATTAACACCATCAAAACAATAATAAATCAATCAAATAACATTAAAACGATAAAAAATACACATAAAATCAACAGTATCATCATATTACAAACACAGTAACCAGATCACCTGTTACACAGACTGCTATATAAAAGCAGTTTAAATTGAGAATATGGAATCAGAGCAGCTGGTTTTGCCTTTGTCTGCAAACTATTCCATTTTTGTGTGGGCATAGTTACAGAAGGACACAAAGCTAAGTTTGTCTGTTGGTGAAGACATTTTATGATCAGTTCGTGTAGAAAATCAGTTCAATCCAAATAGTTCACTTACTTTTTCTAGGCAGTGTTGTTCTTTTGGCTGAATTTTGGTATCAGTTGTCAAGATTCAGCAAAAAAAATATTATATTTCATAAGACTAAGCTGTGTTTTTTAAAATGTTTAACACAGTTTATTCATGTGTTCATTTATTTTATAAATACTTATTTAATTTTGAAGACTTCAAAGGCCTTTCCTTCTAATTTGTTACCCAGCAATAACATCAAACGCACAGCATCGTCTCATTACACTCCCCAAAATTAGATGGAAGCTACAATCTAGGTGCCAGTTTAGTGCAGCAGGTTTTACATGTAGACTATTCCAACCTCAGTGACCTTCTACCAGGTCAATATGATGTAAAACCAAGGAGCCTTTGGCAGGGTGACACATGTACAGTACTTTAAGCATTTGAGATAAAGGTCACCGCAACACACCAGTAATGTAATGGGAGAGAAAAACAGTATTCAGTGTGAGTGCTAATATATAATAAAGTGATCCTGTGCTTTTGGGCTGTGCTTCATTGTTAATGTTGTGTCCTGGTTATGTGCTGTCAAGGGTTTGTGTCTGCTGCATGACCAGAGCCCCTAGCGCAGGCTTGATGGGAAGTGTCATGACGAAAGCAATTTCCATAGAGACAGCTCTGCTTGTTTGCCTGCCTGGCCGCAGACTGAGCAGTAGCATCTCTAAAGTGTGCCTATATTTGCAATACTGTGATCGATTGCAATGAAAACACCAGGGGATGGCTGCCCTTCACACAAGCCACTATAATATTCACTTAGAAATGTTCAAACTGGTCTCCACAAACACTTCACACTCACAGTCTCACTGCATAAGAAGTCTTTCAGACTCAGTAACAAATCCAATCCATCTTTCTAACAGCCAAAGTGAGGTTTTAGGCACCACATGGATATTTATGGCAAGGAAAAGGTCAGATGCAATCAGACAGCTGTGTTGTCTGTCTTAACAGTGCCATCGTGTGTTCAGTCAACCACAGATTGAGAAGCAAGCAAAAAGGCATCCATCCCTTTGTCCCTCTGAGGAAACAGTCTCCTCTTACAGGTGAATGATCAAAGAATCAATAAAAGAAAATTCACTCCACTTAGCAAAAGGCACCATGAGCAATGCAATACAGATACTGAACGTCTCCAAATATTTGCAATTAATGTGAATTTAATGAAATATGTTGTGCAAACGATTACATTAATTCAAATTGTAAATAAGTTGTGCTTAAAAGAAAATCCAGCTGCACGGAAGGTGTTTGTTTTAGGGTGTACTTTTCTTCACAGCTTATAATAATTGGTCTTAAAAGTGAAAGTCCCAGGATGCTTCTCTCCTGGTTTGCTCAGTCATATGAATCACTCTACCTACCTCTGGGGTTTACTGAAACACTACCAAATCAACCACAGCCACGACCACTGCCAACTCTTTACATTTTCTAGCAGCATTGCCACACTTCCCTGCGCCCATTAGTGTCAAAACACAGAGTAGATGCTAACCACCTGTTGAAACAATGTCTGTTTATTGTTTTGCAGTGAAAATCAAGATGCATCGCTGGCAGTTTTAATCATCATCTAACTGACTGACCTTTTTAAAATTTAGAACAAGTGACATGGATGTCTAATATGAGCGCCAACACAGAACCACACTGCGACATTTAAATGCATCTGATCATAGCATCTGCCTCATAATCTTACCTTTCATTTGTGTCAACTGGGTATGCAGCAAGGATCTCTCTCTCTCTCTCTCTCTCTCTCCGTCAGAAGTCCACTTATCATGAAAGATATCCTCCTCCTCTTCAACCTCACTCAGCTTCCCTTTTTTGTCCTCTCTCTGTGGCGTAGAGGGAATAGGAGTGCTGCCACAGGTGGCAGAAACTACTGATGCAGCAGCCACATTGTGAAACATTCAACGCAAAGCAAGGGAAGGCAGGTAGGAGTTGCTGCAGATGTACAATCAAGCACTGCAACATGTGGTTACAGAAACGGTTTCATTTATTTTGCTCCTCCTCCTCCTCCTCCTCCTCCCTGTAGATGCTGGAGTTGGAGGGTTTTGAGAGAGCAAAAGGGAGAGAGAGATGGAGGGAGTGTTGAGACAGAGGGTCCAGTCCTTCTAATAAACATTCCCCCTTCCCATCCCTTACGCATTCAAAACATCAGCACCACCCTCTCACTCCAGCCCTGCCTGAATGGATGATAACAGGAACCCTTCAGGTATCATTTTTAAAAGGGCTCTGTGTAAATGACATGTGCTGCAACATCAGTAGAATGAAAAAATGGCTAGGAGGAACAGATGGGTGGGAGAGGGAGCACATCTTTCTCACATCGCCTATGATCTGTCTCTTCCTCTCTCCAGTGTGACTGGAAAGCCCTTAATGTTTTAAATCGGGGGTATCTGGCTGTCTCTGTGTTTCGGGATCACTCAGTATAATCCATCTGTTTTTCTGTGACATTACCATGACAATCTGTGTCATATTGGTACAGTCAGAAAACACAGACCGTGTCTCTCTGTGTGTGTGCGCTTGAGTTGGTGTGTTGGCTGAAATTCAGCATCCGCCTCTAAACTGAATTAACCTGCAGCCAATAAAACTCGGTCTGTCTACCCCCACCCCCGCCCGCCTCTGGTGCTTCCCTCTCACTGTCATATCTATTTCTCAACCTTTTTAACATCAACACACTCGCTCATGTTCTTGCTTCCTCACAATCATATGGTAAGAGAGTTTACAGTAAATCCCACATATGGCTTTAGTAACAAAGAGTGACATTAGGGACTGAACTAGGGCAGCAGCTAATATGTCCTGTAGATTAGCATCTCCTTTAATCTTTTGGTCTATACAATTCCTGAAAATACTGTAGAGACAAGTGCTCCATATTAATTCCTAAAAATCAAGGTAATTGAATAAAAATGCTTGTTTTCCCTGACTAACATATTCAGTGTACCATCACACAAGACAAGTCTGAGTAATGTAAAATGTTATGCTCTGTATTAAGTCCTAAAACATTAAACTCTTGACCCTCAGTACCAGCTGATTTATTTAGAATAAACCTACAACTTTGCCCCCAAAATCTATCTTCATAATGTGTTGAAGCCTCTACACACCATAGTTCCACTGCTGAGATCTTCTCAGGACTGTTATATCCAACCAAACAGGCCTATTCAGTTTTACTATCATGACAAAAACCATCAAGACAAACTGGCCAAGATGGAAACAGCTAATGTTGCAACTGCAAATCCATTTTAATGTAAAAGAATGGCTGAATCAAATAACTGATAGAGTCTGACAGAGCAGTGAACAGCAGTCTGTTTATGGTCAGACAACATGGACACCGTCTCCTCCCAGCAGCCCACAGCTTTAGATTATGAACCAGAAACTCAGCAGAGAGGACATCTGAATCACACTGAGCCTGAAAATTCATTCCTTGATCTAGACTGTGTAGATTCATGACTGCTTCCAGCACCGAGAGCGATGGCGACCGTGGTTATTTGCGCTCTCTTGTGTTTGTTGTTTTTTTTTTGTTTTCTTGGTCTTTTGCAACTTATCCCGGATTACTTTTACCAAAGAAGAACTGTTACATATTGGACAACTCACACCAAATTACCTTCCTCAGATTTTTGTGAACCAAGAATGCTGTATGGACTTTCTGATCGGAGGAGCAGCAGCAATATACGGGACTTGGAAAAAACCCAGCCAGCGTGGAATAAAATCTGTTAGAATACATTTAAAGTCTCTTTTTGGCACACATTTTGTCAAGTTAAACATTGGATTAGATAAACTGGGCTTTTTTCCCCAAATATAAACAGCACTTTGTATCTTTGCTGTTATAAAGATTATTACCAGCCAGATTTTGGTTTCCAAAACCAGACAAGGATCCCTCTGGTTTTGTGAATCAGCTGACATGGTATGCTGTTATGATCCTACTAAGAGATGCATGTACAATTGACATGTTTAAGGGGTAGATTTGAGACAGAGCCAGCTGTGACTATCACAGTTCAAGATGAGGATGCACAGAGTAGACCTGACTGGATAAAGGTGGATGAAACTCAGTTAATGCGTTGTGCCCTTAGACTGGGAATAGTGGAGGGACAAGAAGCAGCACACCTCTCACTTCCACTCATCTGTATTTGAGCTTTAGATTTTTAGACTGGAAACCTACATCTCTTGTTAGTGAACACTGAGTTTCACGACCATACTTGTGGTGACTAGATCTTTTCCCCTTCTTTATTTATTGATGCCCAACCTTAGGAAACTGAAGCTGGAGAAATCAACCTGCTGACGCAAACGGGACCATGAGGAGGCTGCTACAGACATCCACACCAACCTCTTTGGTCCTCAGAGTTGAGACAGACTTGATCTTGAAGGGACTGTTTCTGCTGAAGCTCAGTCAGCTTTACGTCAGTCCACCTCTGCCTTGGATGAGATGACGGCAATTACTGAACTGTAACCTTTCCTCTGGACGAAAAAAAAATGCTACTGAACGGTGAACAAATATGTTTAGAATCTTATTTACCTCATTAGCATCCTTAAATTCATCATCAGGCTCTGCCTTGATTCTACATACACATGAAGTTGTGCTGTGACATGTTGTAAGCCTGTCTTGATAAGTGTAGTTGTGCTGTTTTCTAAATCATCACTGCCCAAATAACTATTTTACTTTAGGGTTAAATATCTGAGTTGTCTCACTCTGCCAAGTTTCAAGGGGAGACTTGCTCTTCAACTAGACTGGGGAGGGAGAGTTTTGTGTTTCATATGCTTATTAGATTTTCCAGACATGGGAGGCCTCCCAGCAGAGGAATGTATCCTACCCCTGTAAAGTATTATCGCTGATGTAGGGATACGTTTAGCAGGTTCATACATAGATGGGATTGTTGTCAGACCTCTGCACGGTAGCTGCATTACCATCCGGGTGTGTGTTTTGGGAGGGAGGAAGCCTGACAGAGACAGACAACTCAGATGACGAAATAAGCTCAGAGACACTCACTTTGAGTGTATTTGCCTTATTTTCTATGATAAGAATGACAGGAGTGATGACTATAAAAAACTATCCACTCCATAGAGACAGCTCTGCTTGTTTGCCTGCCTGGCCGCAGACTGAGCAGTAGCATCTCTAAAGTGTGCCTATATTTGCAATACTGTGATCGATTGCAATGAAAACACCAGGGGATGGCTGCCCTTCACACAAGCCACTATAATATTCACTTAGAAATGTTCAAACTGGTCTCCACAAACACTTCACACTCACAGTCTCACTGCATAAGAAGTCTTTCAGACTCAGTAACAAATCCAATCCATCTTTCTAACAGCCAAAGTGAGGTTTTAGGCACCACATGGATATTTATGGCAAGGAAAAGGTCAGATGCAATCAGACAGCTGTGTTGTCTGTCTTAACAGTGCCATCATGTGTTCAGTCAACCACAGATTGAGAAGCAAGCAAAAAGGCATCCATCCCTTTGTCCCTCTGAGGAAACAGTCTCCTCTTACAGGTGAATGATCAAAGAATCAATAAAAGAAAATTCACTCCACTTAGCAAAAGGCACCATGAGCAATGCAATACAGATACTGAACGTCTCCAAATATTTGCAATTAATGTGAATTTAATGAAATATGTTGTGCAAACGATTACATTAATTCAAATTGTAAATAAGTTGTGCTTAAAAGAAAATCCAGCTGCACGGAAGGTGTTTGTTTTAGGGTGTACTTTTCTTCACAGCTTATAATAATTGGTCTTAAAAGTGAAAGTCCCAGGATGCTTCTCTCCTGGTTTGCTCAGTCATATGAATCACTCTACCTACCTCTGGGGTTTACTGAAACACTACCAAATCAACCACAGCCACGACCACTGCCAACTCTTTACATTTTCTAGCAGCATTGCCACACTTCCCTGCGCCCATTAGTGTCAAAACACAGAGTAGATGCTAACCACCTGTTGAAACAATGTCTGTTTATTGTTTTGCAGTGAAAATCAAGATGCATCGCTGGCAGTTTTAATCATCATCTAACTGACTGACCTTTTTAAAATTTAGAACAAGTGACATGGATGTCTAATATGAGCGCCAACACAGAACCACACTGCGACATTTAAATGCATCTGATCATAGCATCTGCCTCATAATCTTACCTTTCATTTGTGTCAACTGGGTAAGGGTTGACAGTGAGGTCAGTGTTTCAGATTCTGGAGTCAAAAGTTGTTGTTCAGGATTCTTCTCTTCAGCATCAAGTACAGCGCACGTTGTTTCACTTTATAAGCTTGTGTCTTTTTCTGATAAGTGACCAAACTCCCTTCAAAAATCCAGCAGATTAGTTTTGCTTTTATAAGAACAAACATGACATTCAATATACTGTATAACTCAAACTGCACTAACTTAAACATAACATCTTCTGGTTAAGTCGTAGCAGTGATACATTAAGTTGGGTTTACTAAGTTTATGCTGCTACTAGCTGTCATTCTGCTTCTTTGGCCATGTGTAACATTGACTTGTATACAAAGTCCCCAAACTCCTTCAGAAAAATCTGGTAGAGTATGTCTGTTAGAAACAAACATGCATCATCAAACTCATTTCTTGAATGTTAACTTCTCCTGGTAATTTTTCCTTAAGTAGAAAGACCTTGTTACCAAATATAATCTTCAACATTAGGTTCCTGCTGCTTTGTCTTCTGTTTGTGGCTGAAAATCAATCTTAATGTGTGCTTGTATTTCCATACAAGACATCATAGACTGATATGTTACTCTTACCTTAATGTTTTTAAAAACCCGTGGAGCTACCAGTGTGCAGAGCTTCAGATGGTACCCCCAGGAGCCATCGGCCTTTAAAACCTCAAGAGTCATGGTGTTAAGTGACCATAGAATTCTGAGTTTTTTCAGGCTCCAGGCATTACAGGTGATGTTGCAGTAATTAAACCAAAAACAATGAAAAAGCGAAAGGCAACAGTTAAGGGAGCACAATGTCATCTTTGATCACACATTAAATACAGAGTCAAAAGAACAGCAAAAAGACAATTGATAAATTGGAGATAAGTTCTCCAGTTTTTGGTGAATGCTTCCATACAATCTAAACCTTTTGTGTGATTAAAAACAATAGTGGTCACAGTATAGTAGACTACTTTGTTAATTTTACTTTTGAGTTTTTCTTTTTGTAAATGCATCTCGGATGCCATCTGTCAGATGCTATTTTCGGGTATTTTCTGCTAAAATATGAGCAGCTGGATGAAGCAGCTGTTTGGCTATGCAAGGTTAGAAAAAAAGCTTGTGTGCACTATAGATGCATAAAGCTAGATACCAGATTGAAACATGCCACCCATTCTGTGCAATTAAAGTTGCTCACCTGCCACATTTATCCAGGTCCTTGGTGCCAGAAGTCCAGAAAAGCTTCTTTTTTTTGTATGTATATGTAGTATATATTCTACATATACATGTGCATCATAGCCAGAATATACATCCACTTTGCTATAACAGATTATGGTATGTGATTTATATCACAGTCACAAGGAAAGGAGCTTCACCAATATATGTATTGTGAATTTAACTGATATCTGACACATGCAAAAACTACCAACCAGAAAAAGTATAGGCAAAACTGATGTTGGAGCAATAAAGTTAAATGTTTAAAAGAAGAGATGTCACGTTCAGTAGTTTTTCAAAAAGGTAACAGCTGATGAATTAGCTACTTGTAAACTCACGTAATAAACTACAGACTGGAGAGCAATATGTTTATTTGTCAAACTATTGCTGTTACATGCAGAAATGTCTCACTGATTCGCTAATGCTAGTGTAGAAATAAAGCCAAATAAAGGTGGTGATTATTAAATGTTCCCTTTTTTTTTTGAGAAGTTTATATATATTTTTTAGTTGTTCTGGATAATACAAATGTCAGAATCAGAATTTTTTCTTACAAATTTGTTTACAAGACATACATACTATCATTTTGAAATACCCAGATACGATTGGTTTATGTAGAATAGTTTTTGTCTTAGGTAAATAAACTTAAATGAGTTTTTTTTTTATAATGTTATAGTTTGGTCGTTTTTTACTACTTTTTCTAAGTAACTTTAGTTTACCAAACTACATTTCTCTCTAGAATCGCTTTGCCATAGTTTAACTCCCCCCCCCCCCAATAAATAACACCGTTGATTAGCACTTCGGTTGATTCTGGAGGCGCGAGCCCTAAACTTTCGACACTTGTGGTGCCTGTGAAAGCAGCGTCAGCAGTTCAGCTCCAAACAGCGGTATCTGACCTCATAAAAGTTTTAACGGTGTTAATTTAACCCAAAATGTCCGAAGACTCGTGGGCGCTTTCAGTCGATAACCAAGAGGCTTCAACACCGGCCATGCAGGTAAGTTTTAACGATGACCAACAGACACAAAGCTAACGAGCTGCTCGTTGTGTGGTAGGTTAGCTTAACCTGCCACCTAGCTGCTTTGCTTTGTGCTTGTTGACATACGTTAGTCTTTCGCTCGCTCTTGAATAATAATGTGAAACTGTTTTCTCTGACTAGATGGACTTCTCAAAGAAAGTGGATCGGATGCGTGGTCTACGTAAACCGCCAACCGACTTAAACAGTAGGTTAAGCTAATCTTCCAAACATCTCTGCTAACTAGTTTTACCGCTCGCTAATGCTGATTTTCCCTCCACCTGCAGGCAACATTTGGCTGGAGAAGGATGAAAGTGAGGACTGGCGAGGCGACACCGACAAAGTGAACCTGGCTGAGCAGTCCCTCTTGAACAAAATAATCCGCAGGTCTCTGGTGCGGAACCGAAACCAGGTGGAGGTTTTGCAGAGGGACCCCACCTCTCCCCTGTACTCTGTAAAGACCTTTGAGGAGCTCAGACTGTGAGTTTGCAAGAGAAAGCATTTGTGACAGTCACTTGGTCATTAACAGAGATCTGCCTCACAAGGCTCCTTCCAACATGTATACCTTTACACAAAAAGCTATACACATTACACCAACTAAATTACATTTATTCATGTGGATTAAATTCCAAAAGCTTCATCTCAAACTGTTTGTGTCAGAGTAAAAGTCAAGTGTTCCACCAGTTCTTACAGCAGCACATCAAATTCACATTTAATGTAGAAATCCAACAGAAAATGTCACACTGTGTCGAATTTTGGATTTTTGTCGCTTTCAGTTGAATAAGGCTATTTTTCTAGTCATATATTTTGTCATTGAAGATTTATTTTTTTAAATAGTGTTAAAATATCGCATTCACATGAACCTAGTGCCGTGCACTGTCACACCCCTAGTAACTATTTGATAAAATGTAAACAAAACGATAAACCTGCAGCTGCCATCACGGCACATTTGATGAGCCTGATGTGGATCTTCAACATGCTGTTTGCTACAGGGCTTCAGTTTACTGCTGTTCACTTCAGAAATCAGTATAATTCCTGTTATTTTGACTTGATGTTTATAGCAAACCCGAGCTGCTGAATGGAGTATACAGCATGGGTTTCAACAGACCGTCAAGGATCCAGGAGAACGCTTTGCCCATGATGTTGGCACAGCCGTGAGTTGCTTTTGACTCTTGTAGTAGTGCTGATCAATTTATCGATTAGTCAGTTCACTAAAGATTTATAGTCTGCAGTTTTGATATATTTAAGTTATCAAGGAAAAAGAATATTTGCTGGTTGAGGCTTCTCCACTGTGACGATGTGCTCATTTCTACATTTTAGTAATGAGAAAAATGAGGATCTTGGGAACTGCAATATGGAAAAGCAATCATGAGGGTCAAACTATCATGGGAATATTGCTTTTATTGCAGAGTTTCCACCCTCTGAGTGTTGTCTAGTTCTTTATTGATTCCTGATCAGCTTTCTGTGTGGGGGCGAGTGCATACCTAGTTCCTCATTATGAAACACAAGACCCTGATATTTGTTTTTTTTTAGTCCAGAGATCTCCACAGCTGATTCCCATTCTGTGCTTGATTCCCTTCCCTATTGTAAAGCTATGCTTTCACAGTAGCTCTACCTACACTGTGTAATTGATGATCAAACTCAGTTGCACAATTTGGCTTTAGTGGATAAAAGTGGCTCCTTTATGTCACTTCTAGCAAATGACTAAAATACACATTCATGCTTTACAGACTTAGCAGTCAAGACTGGTTAAGAACATGGATCTAACAGTAAGCTGTAACTGAAGTTGTTGTACATTAATAATGGAAAATGTTAAAATAAAAAAAATGGCATGATGTAAATGTGCTTGTTATGAATTCATCTGATAAAGTATATTATTTTGTCCAACTCCAAACCCCACAAATAATAAGTTTACTAAAATGCAAGATCTTAAAAATCAGCATATCCTCCCCTTTGAGACTCTGGACCTACAGAATAATACAGAATTATTTATTTCTGAAAAATTACTAAAATGTCTAACTTTCTGTTGGTCAACCCATTGTCTCAGCCGTACAGCAGACTGTACTACTCTCTTTTTAGTGCCATACACGTAACCGCAGTAGGTTTGCCTGTGGTTTACTCACCTTTGTGTATTTTCTCTGGTTGCAGACCTCAAAATCTGATTGCCCAGTCACAGTCTGGCACAGGGAAAACGGCTGCTTTTTCTCTGGCTGTGCTCAGCCATGTAAATCCAGCCAATAAGTGGACGCAGGTAAGCATAACATGTAATCTACAGAGCCAGCTGGCTTTCAGATTCAGTTCTCGACTGAAATGAAATCACCATTTAAAAACTGGTTCTTTCAGTGCCTGTGCATCGCACCCACATACGAACTCGCTCTGCAGATCGGTCAAGTAATTGAGCAAATGGGGAAATTTTGTCCAGATGTGAAACTGTCCTATGCCATTCGAGGCAACAGAAGTAAGAAAATGCTGTTACGTTTAATTACCTCTGATGGAATTGGCAGCAAAATGACATTTCAAGTGGTAGCCAGTCTTGGATATGTTTTGCTTTGTTTAGTGCAGCGAGGTGTCAAGGTGCAGGAGCAGATTGTCATTGGAACACCAGGCACAGTCCTCGACTGGTGCACCAAGCTCAAGGCCATTGACCCCAAGAAGATTACAATGTTTGTGCTGGATGAGGCTGATGTGATGATTGGCACACAGGGTCATCGGGACCAGAGCATTCGTATCCATAGGTGCGCTTCTTTCAGAGAAACCTAGCAATGCTCATGGACAATATGACAGTTTTAAATCGTGTTGTTGAATAAGCTTATCTTGTAATTTGTGACAGTATTTTCCTCCTCCTCCTCATGCTGATGCAGACAGTTGTCACAGGACTGTCAGATGCTCCTTTTCTCTGCAACCTTTGAGGACTCTGTGTGGAGCTTTGCAGAGCAAGTGGTTCCTGACCCCAATATCATCAGGCTGAAGCGTGAAGAGGAGACACTGGACACAATCAAGCAGTTCTATGTGCTCTGCAAGGATAAGGAGGACAAGTTCGTGGCACTCTGTAATCTATACGGGAGCCTTACCGTTGCACAGGCCATGATCTTCTGCCGTGTAAGTCAGCTGTAACCCTTAAGAATTACAGACGTTTCCTTCTCCAAAAGTAAAGCTGTAAAATGTTGCTAGATATTGCTAATGCCAACATGCTTACATTGACAATGCTGACTACTGATCTTTACCCTGTTCACCATCTTACATAAAGCATGTTAACATTTGCTGATTAGCACTAAACAGCACGACTGAGGCTACAGTTTTACAGGTCAGTTTAAATGTTTCAAATTTAGAGGAGGATTTGTAAGTAACATACTTCCTTGAGTTGCCTTTTTCTTGATAACAGGTACATGTGTCCTAATATTTCAACTGACAGCATAAGTTGAGCTCGAAGGTCCAGAAGCCCCATCGCACTGTTCATGTTGGCATTTAAAAAAAGGTCATGCTGTTTTCTGCATTGGTTCGCTTATTCGGGTTAATATATTTGTAACATTAGTGTGTATGAAAATTCAGCTTTTTTTCCTCAGAATATATTACAGTAGTTTTATGCTAGATGCACTACATCAGCGCAAAAGAGAGCTTCACTCATGACGAACTGTGTCGATACAGGACTATGTCCACACTATTGATGAGCCACACAGGGTCATGAAGACTGCATACCTGTCAGTTATTTTTCCTTTTGGAAAACAGTAAGCATAACATCACTGTACATTTTTCATCCAAAACCATTAGTCTGCTTCTCTATCAGTGGTCATCTCTTCCAAAACTAAAACTAAATGCATGTCAGACACCGCGCCTTAGCAATATTCATTAAAGAGCCTTGAACACACAGTAACAGTGTGAGCTGACCGTAAATCTAGCAGCAGTTATTTGTGCAGTTTCAGTGTAAAACCATTCACAGCTTTATCAGATCACTGGAGCCACTGGCTAAGTCTGCACTCAGAGCTAGTGGGCAGGTTTCCTTTCTTGGATGCTGTATATTGTAATTCATGCAGCTTTAGGGACTAAACAAGTGCATGTTGATGTACCCAGCGCCTTGGCATGCATCTCATTAATGTGCCTCTGTTACGACTTATTCATTTTTTTGTGTGCCCCCGCCCCAGACTCGCAAAATGGCTGCTTGGCTGTCTGCGCACCTGTCCGTGGAGGGCCACCAGGTGGCGTTGCTGAGTGGGGAAATGACAGTGGAGCAGAGAGCCACTGTCATCGAGCGCTTTAGGGAGGGCAAAGAGAAGGTGCTCGTAACCACAAATGTGTGCTCGAGAGGTGAGAGAGACAGATGAGTTGGATTTAAAGTAAACGTTGTTGGGAGGCGAGTATAAATATCCTAAACCTGTGTGTGCTTATAGGTATTGATGTGGAGCAGGTGTCACTTGTGGTGAACTTTGACATGCCTGTGGACATGGATGGGAACGCTGACAACGAGACATACCTTCATCGAATTGGCCGCACAGGACGCTTTGGCAGGAGAGGATTTGCAGTAAACATGGTTGACAGCAAACACAGCATGGATATCATTCATCAAATTGAGATGCATTTCAGTATGTTATGTTTCTTGGTTTGATCATGTCAGATTGAAAGTACTGGCATTCTTATTTGCTGTTTTCCTCCCTCTCTTCCCCTTACAGACCGAAGAATCACCATACTTGACACAAACAATCTTGAAGAAATGGACGAGAAGTTGGGCTGAATGCTTCGCTGCACTCACTGCTCATCAATAAAACAGGTAGACATGTGACTTTAGTTCTTTCAAGGGTTTGTTTGCGTTTTGTTCACGAGACTGTTGACTATGCCCAACCTTTTTAACAGCAGTAATTTGTGCCAAGGTTTCCCTTAGATTTTATTTGATACAGACAACTTTGATCCTTGAAGTAGGTCTTTAAGCTGCACTTCCCAGAGGATTTAAACTAACCTCTAGCTGTTAATGTAGCATATAAATTGTATATAGTGATAATACTAAAGCTGGTTTGCAGTGTTGTTCAATAATCTGGAGTGTAGAATTTAATGGGATAAGAATGTCTTATTTATAGATGTTTGCATGGTTTGACCAGGGTTGAGTTCAAATATAACATCCTTGTGTGACTTGAAGTGTGTTAAGGTCTAAAAATGCATGTTTCAGCTCAGTAGTTGGTTACCAGTATCCTCATTTAAATGTTGTTATAACAGACTGAAGTTGTTTCTCAGTTGTGTGTATAATAAAAAATATAAAGCCTGTTTATTGCATATGTTAGCTTGTTGGAAGGACATGGTTTGGCACCTTATCAGGGGAAACCATTATATTTGGTGTATCTGAACAAATGAATCAGTTCCTCAGAGCCTATAAACAAAAACATATTTCCTGAACATAGAATACATAACCTACTTGTCTGTGCACTTCTTTGAAATCAGGGAATTCCAGTGAACAGCTGAGTCTTGACTTCCAATTGAAAGACTTGACCAGCAAATTATAGTTTTACTTTCAGTCTTCATCATGAACACAGCTCTTATACATCCAGAAATCATTTACTGACTCGACTCAGTGTGAAAAACCGTTGGCTCAGGAGAGCGAGGGTTGTTTGGAATTAGCCTGTCTCATGTCATTTTGACTCAGCATGGAGGGAAAAATCAGTGGGTCTAAGACATTAAAGATGACTTCAGCCTGGAATGAAATGTTATTTATATCAGTGCTTTTTTTTTATTGTGACTTGTCAAAACGTGTTAAAGGTTTTCCTTAAGTTAAATGTAGATAGTTTACAATGTTTCTTAACTAGAATGACTCAACTGGTGCAAGTTTGTAAAGTTAAACATCAATGTCCAGATTGAATAGAACTATATACTGTATTTAAAATCAGGTTAGTAGCTGTAGTTTAGAAGTCAAGTGTAATCATTTCTCAAATTAACCTAGTGCCTCTGCATCCTAATGATTATTAGACATCACGATAAAGGGGAAGGATTGGAAAATTGAAACAAACCTAAGGAAACGCTGTTTGATGCTGTTATTCAGCAGGCCTATTGAAATGACAAGAATCTCTTTAAAATACATATATATTACACCAGACTCTTTTCTTAAATCAAAAACTGAAAGCTGATCTCTCGTATGAGTCCTTAATTTGCTCTTTTCCTGCCGTTGTGATTAACAGTGTAGAAAGAGAACATACATGTATTTTAAATGTCCTCATAGGCTAGCTGTGGTTATATAGACTATCTGGAGCAGTCTGAAACAGGTCAGCAAAGCAGGCTGCTGAGATCAACTGCAATGAATTGTACTAAAAGGTAAAAAAAAAAAAAAGTTTTAAAAAGCATGTGTATACTTAAAAATCACCCCCAAACATGCTTTAGAACAAAAGCACTCAACTTTGGATAATAAGCTAAGTTTGATATGGTTTTGTCCACAAAAGTCTTCTCATAAAATCATATAGACATCCACTAATGCAACCCTCTGAAGTCCCAGAATATATATCGTTCTGGGCACTGGTAAAAAAAAATCAAACAACTAGAAGGGGGGACTTTAAATGCCACCAGAGCCAAATGTGGACTGCAAAACAGAACTTTAAAATGATTTAAACCCTCTCCTGTTCCATCACACCGTCATTCTGAGAGATGCACAGCACTGATTTGTTCAAGATGCCACACTGGGCCAAGGTCAAATCCAGGTCTGTGAAGCTCCTGCGTGGTACATCCATAGTCTCAATGGAAACCTCTCCATACTTGGCTCCATACCTGCCCTCTGCACTGGTCCTGACCATCAGCAGAGTGTCTGTGGGCTCAAAGTGCTGTTGAAACCTCTTCCCACAAGGTGCTCGGATAGCTAGGAGCAAACTGCCACTGGCTTCTTTGGTCACTATTGGCCCTGGGTCTAGTGGCTCTGGACAGGCCCCGAGGTGCCTTTCTGCCTTCTTGCCCCCCTCAGAGCTGCTGGTCTGGGGATCTGGCTCCTCATGCCTCTGGCTTTGCTGCAGAACAGAGTCATCAGACAAGTGGAGCTTGGACAGGTTTTTATCCAGGCTTTTACCAGGCCTCACTTCTGACCGCCTCTTCCCTATGGACGGAAGGACCTTGTATTTGTTTAAGGGCTGTGGCGGGGCAGCAGGAGCGTGATGCGGCATGTGCAGAACTTGGTCCTGGCTCAGTTGGCTGGCCTGCCACACGATGGGCTGGGACTGGGAGCGGAAATGTCTGTCCGACCCGCTGTACACGGGAGACTCTGGAGACACAGGCGGCCTCTGGACGCTCTCTGTGTCACCCTCATAGAGACAGTTGTCGACAGCAGGTCTGCTTCGTCCTTTGGAGGACTTTGGTCTTGTTAAATACATGGATAGCCGGTTTTTGATGGTCTGACTTGCGTTAGAGTTCGTAATAGTCTGCCGTGGAACTTCCGAGTCGTTCTTGGCTGCAGCCCTTCGTAAAAAGAATAACAAATGTCTCCACTAGCTTAAAGACATGCATGGCTGGCGCTGTTGATACTGTTTTAGAAACCGTCTTGCTGTTCAAAAGTATATATGTATGCTAGTGTAACTAAATTACAAGTTCAGACGCTATAATATCGTTCGGTCGCTTTCCGCCCGGTTTTCCAGTTTAATTCAGTCTATACAGCGTCACCAGTTGCCCTGACAGTCAGGTTGCCAGGACAACGCCCTGTACTCACAGGTACCGAGCCCCCTGGTGTTGGAAGTACGAAACTGCAGCTATATTAATCAGTGGTGGTGGGTTTTCACTAACTGTAACACACTTCTCTCGAGTTTACTTTGCCGAACTCTTCACACACTTCTTTTACCAACATGCAACGCGGCACAAACGTTGATCTCACCTCTAAAATGCACATCACTGGTCCAGTCACACTGACGTTTGTTTCCCCAACAATAAAATGTTGATCTAAAAACCCTAACGGGTAGCACTACAATACTGCACAAGACTGTCTTTGAAGTATCGTTTCTGTATCAATAAAGAATTTCCAGGACACAGGAGTACTGCTACTAAAACCATGTGTGTTCTTACTGGGGGGGGCATGGACACATAAGCACTCCTCCATGGGAGGGGATATGACAAAACAATCCAATTCTAGGCAGCTAAGTGGATGGTTAAGAATAAAAGTGCTTTAATAAATATGTCAATAGATTAAAAAAAAACTCTTACTATTGCATATCAGCTCATTTGCCTTTCTCAGGGTGTGCTGACAGTGACTAGCTAATAACATGTTTTAATAAGCTACCCTACTGATAGAATTTGAATTTAGTGATGTATACATAATATACAGTAATTCACTGTAAAACTACAACATTCACTTCAAAAGAATTTAATGCTTGTACACTAGCTATACACACATTGTCATTTGTATATTTAATGAAAAAAATATACAGGGTGTTATAACTCTGAGTCCATTAATATGACCCAGTGTTTCAATATACAAAGTTTTTTTCACAAACTTATTCAGTGGAAGTCGTTTGTATTTGGTATGACCACTGCAGTGTGATGATTGTAGATCCACATCATTCCAGCACCTGTTTCAGGATATAAGAGTATGTTTAGTTTAGTTTTAGTTTCTGACATTTTTATCTTTGGTATTTTAAAAACTGCTGCTCTCACATTAAGGCTTCAGTTTACTAGTAGCCTTTTCTGTTTGTTTTATATAGAAGACCATTGTAAAATATTCAATATCTGGCATTAGAGAGCATTTCACACTCTAACAGGAGCAGAAATGCATTTATATTTGAAGAAAATATGGTAAGAACTTGAAAAGACAAACTAATGGGCCTATTATTACCTGATCTCCCTGATACATAAAAATCATCGATATCAGTTTTAAGTGGTCTAAATCTTCTAGATCAGGGGTTTTCAGCCAGTGGTCCACAGCCCCCTGATGCATTCAATAATGTAGCTTCACTGTGGGAATTACAAAACATTAACATATTTCAATTTATTAATTACTGTTAATGAATAATCAAATTCAGGTAAAAAAAATATCAAGGTGACTTTCAGGATTAAAATCAACAACAGTGGTCCTCAAGTTGCTTCTTAGTCACAGTGGTGGTCCCTGGGTCACTATCAGTCAAAAGCCTCTGTTGTAGATTGTTTGGTGCCTAAGCCATGTCAGAAAACAATTTTTAAAAACATCCTGGAAATCCCAGGACACTAGGTGCACAAATATGTCAACAAATACCTTGTCAAATATCCCAAATATTTAATTTACTATAGGGTAGAACAAAGACAAGCATCAAATAATCATATATGTGAACCTAAAACCATCAAATATTCTCAGAATAGTTGCTCATGGGTTTTCTTCTGATTGACTAATTGATCAACTAGCTGTTCCAGCTCTGCAGTAGTTCAAAATACTGTCCCCAAATACAAAGCATCAACTTGGGCATTTATGATAAATTATGAAAATACACAGCTGTCTGCAGGAGTCCAAAGGCTTCTTGGCTCCACTACAGCCCCCTTTGTGTATTAACATTAAAAATAATCAAAGGCTGAATTAAAGATGTCATTCAGAGGTGGATTATTATGAGCAAAAATGTGCATGCAGTATTGCAGTATATTGAAAACTGGCAATGCAGTAGTACATATTAGTGCCAGTGAAATTTAATTTGTGCCCAGCACTGTACAGATAATACACAACCCTGTAGTCAAACAGGAGTAGCAGGTAACAGCCCATTAGCAGGAACGGACTGTAAATATTTAATCATGTATATGTAATGTGACAAATATAGGCCTTCTTGCTCTATGGTAAGTCAAGCAGGTTATGTTGAGCGTACAGGTCCTCTGTGATCTGGTACACCTCAGAGATTAAAGGCAGAGCTTTTCCCAGTATGGCCACGACCTGCTCTGGGGGGCCTACATTCATCACTTCAAAGAAAGCAGGGCGCCCAGGCAGCATGTGGAACGCCATGCCCGCAGCCGTACGGACCATCCAAGTGTGGTACTTTGCAAGGGACTCGTTGTAGGCCTCTGCACACATGAAAGATGTTTTGCTGTCCTCAGTGCTGGTGCGGAGACGCTCCAGGAAGAGCTCCAGCCACCTCAGTGCGCGGTGGAGCCTCAGCAGAGTACGACAGCCTGACTCTGGATGGCTGCCTTGCTTCTTCTGGTCCACAAGTTTGTTCTCCAGCTCGTATTTTACCATGGACTGGATGGTGACATACTGAGACCCATGCTCACCATTCAGGAAGTTGACCAGGATCTGGATCTTACTGACAGCATCCTTAGAAATGAAGCCAAATACGGCCCCCAGGCTGTTCAGAAACCTGTTCAAGTGATACACACAAACAGTCTGTTAACATTTGTATGACATCTGTTACAGCTGAGTCGAGGCTGGACTAGCAACTGGGAAAAGCAGGCAACTAACCAGGGATCCCATAACCTTAAAGTCCCCACATTTAATCCATATTTATGTTTTTATCCTCAGAATCTGATGAATCACCAAATTGTTTGAAGTTTCCACCGCTCAAATACTGTATGAGCTATGACAGCTTCTTCCTCTTCCATCTAATGCCCTTGGTCTTGAAGAGGGCACCTGTGGCAAAATCCAGTTTAAAACTTTAATTAGTTTTTGTTTAAATTTGTTGCTTATTTGTTGTAAAGTTTTATCAAACTGCTTTAGCTTTTTTTCTGTCTCAAGTAATTAACAAGAAAGCTTTTTTAAAGTGATACGACTACTGTAAGGCTACAAGCAGCAACTGCTTTTATTATCACCAGGCCTGATAACTGTTTGGTGTATAAAATGTCAGAAAGCAACGAAAAATGCCCTCATTATTGTCTTAAACCCAAATGAACAAAATTGCTTTGTTTGTCAAAACAACAGTCAAAAATCCCAAAATGTCAACTTCACTAACAGAAATCTGGGAAAGATGCAAATATTTACATGTGAGAAGCTGATGCCAGTGTATTTTTGCTATTTAAGTCTATCATAAGTCTAATAAGTTACAAAAACTACTACCAGCTAATTTTCTGTCATTTGATTTATTTATCATCAATTGTCAGCGAGGTATGGTGAGAACAGCAGTTACTGAGACTACGTTCACACTGCAGGTCTTAATGCTCAGATCAGATTTTTTGCCGAAATCCGATTTTTTTGCGCTGTTGTTCACACTGTCATTTAAATGCGACTGCCATCTGTCTCAAGTGTGAACGGTATACGGCCCTGAAGTGACCCGCATGCACAGAAGAGGACGTGACGTCAGACGCAGTGTACTGTGTTTGCGGAAATAAAAATGGATGTGGCTCATGATAGCATGTGCGTAGCGATGTACCTGACAATTTGCAATCGAAATAAAGACATAATAATAAGAATATCAAGAAGAAGGAGAGCACAAATATTGCTTATGGCCTTTTGTGGAGTAGTGGCTGCTACCTCTGTACAGAGGAATGTGTGGGTGCGGAGTCGGAGCCAGGAGTGGTGGTATTCCGTGAGGGGCTTCACGAACACAGAATTCATTAATAATTTCCAAGTGAGGAGGGAAATGTTATCACCACATGAATCACCGTCTGAATCACCGTTGTCTGTCATTTTTTTATTACCCCTCGCCTCCTCCAGCGCAGAATTGTGACGTCTGTCGCATTTCAATGACATAAAAATCGCATGAAATGCGACCTGGCCGTTCAGACTGAAGTCGCATTGCAAAAGATCGGATACGTATCCAATTTAGGGCCACATATGAAAGTGGCCTGGATCGGATTTGAAAAAATTGGATTTGTGCTGTTCACACTGCCATAAGGAAATCAGATATGGGTCGCATTTGGGCAAAAAGATCGGATTTGAGTCACTTCAGCCTGCAGTGTGAACGTGGTCTGAGAGAGAGAGAGAGAGGAACAAATCCCCATCCCGACACATTCATGTATGACAGAACTGTAATGTAGATGGGCACATAAAAGACTAAAGCACTCATCTCTTTTGTTCTGTCCTGAACAATGAACCTTTAATGTGAACATCTAATTTATGGACTTTTACTCTTTTTCACATATTTATTGTTTCAATATGCTCTGCCACTTTATATTTGTGTATTTTAACCAGGGTTCATGTCCTGTAGTAGAATTTGGATATCTAATTCAAGTCGTGGATATTGCCTCCAGTCCTTTCCACATATTGTTTTCATATTTATTGTTTCGATGTTTTCCAATATGCTGTATTTGTGGTCATCATTTAGGAGGAGTGAACACTCTGGTAGGGACACATGTCTGTTCTGTGTAATGTACAGCGGCTTCAAAGACTATTCAGGCACCTTCTCTTTTAGCACACTACATTGCCACACCTGGCTGTGTTCTTCACATCGCTGTTGTGATGAAAGGTGAACCCCAGTCCCAGGTCAATGCACTCTGGGGCAGGTTTTCTTCAAAGACCTCTGCATTTATTCTTCCCTCAGCTCTGACCAGTTTCCCTGTCTCCCTGCTGCTGAGAAGCACAAGCGTGATGCTGCCGACACCATGCTTCAACATAGGGACAGTATTAACCAGGTGATGAGCAGACACAGTGCTTGGAGTTCTGCCCAGAGAGTTAAATTTTGGTCTCATCAGACCAGAGAATCTTCATCCACGTGTTCTCAGAGCCCTTTAAATGACAAACTCCTGCCTTGTACGCAAAGAGTCTTCTGTCTAGCCTACCTACCATATGAAGCCCTGAGCGATGGAGAGCTGCTGAGATTGACATCCTTCCAGCAGGTTCTCTCATCTCTGCAGAGGACTTCTGAAATTCTGTCAGAGGGACTGTTGGGTTCTTGGTCATGTCCGTGACCAAACCTCTTTGTGCCCAGCTATGCGGTTTGGCTGGATGGCCAACTCTAGGTTCCAAGCTTACTCAGTTTCACAATTATTTTGGCATCTGACTATAGTTTGGAATGCCACAGATTAATGCCTGAATATATTTGTTAATGAGATTTAGGGTTTAGATTTTTAATACATTTGTTTTCACTTTGTCATTATGTTTTTTTTTTTTTTTTTTTTTTTTTTTTTTAGTTTGGACTGACTCAACTAGACATTTTAGCTCGTTTGTTTTTTTGGCGCCAGGGAAAATACTGACAGTCATGTATAGTGTGCCGTCAGTATGGGTCCAACAACAATTTTAGGAAGTTAACCGAGTGTGGTACATTACAGTATAGTCATGATATAATTACATACAAAATATTATTAGTTCACAGAGGAGAGGTTACTGAAGTCCAACACAGGCCCAAAGACTTGACCCTAAATCACTTACTTTACAAGACCACGCCACCCAGCGACGTAGTGTTCAAGGTAGACTTCTTTGTTTTCCGACAGACACAACTTGAAAGTGTCAAGCACCTCCAGTAAGCAGAATTTTTGGTCTTCTGAAGCCATGGTATTGGCGACAAACACGAATGAATTAGCTAATGTATTTAACGGCTATCAACAAACCAGAGGTCGCCACAGACGTAAACACTTCAGTAAACACACACCGATAACAGACTACCTGTAAGAAAACTTAAATAATTCAGGAACAAGTAATCATCTCCTTTCATCCGTTTGACAAGTTACTGTTGATATAATCTACCCCTACTGCGCAGACTCGAGCCGGAAAACACCGGAAACTGGAAACGTACATTCAAAATAAAAGCCTGGTAGCAGGAGCAGGTCGGGGGTTTATTGAATTAGCTTATAGGGATCAAATGTACGTGTGTTCAAATTGCTTACCACAGTATATTGGCTACTGTGAGATAAATTTGACCATGGGACATTTATACAAATCGCATCTGTTTTGGCATTTGGACACCTGGAAAAGGCAAATATTTCTAGAAAATGCTGAAGCTGAACAGCCTATTGCATGTGCAAACACTGTAACATTGTAAGCAGTCTTTAAATTTCACGGGCATGTTGGAATATTGCATGGGCCTTGCAATGTAATATGAAGAATTTAAAGCAGCTGAATTTGATGCACTGAAAGGGTTGGAAGTAGCATATGAGGCGAAAACTATTGATCAGTTGGAGTGTAAACTGTGAAAGTTTAAACATTGAGCAGTGCTACAAGTGGCTTAAGAGTGAGAGCTGAAAACAAGTGAACTGTCAGCTGAATTTTAAGAGATGAAAGTCATTTGATATCTCAGCCGTGACAGCCACCTAAAGAAAAGGGGATGAAAACCGGTAGGCTAATGCCAGTTGAACTGTACCAGATCAAAGAAACTGAAAATACTAATACTGGCGAAATCTCCTTTTTAAGGTAAGAGATTTCAATTTAGGCTATGTTTAATTAGCATATTTAATATAAACTGATCTTACTCTTTGTAAAATAATTTGTGGAGTCACGAAAAGAGGTTTTATTTTGAAGGTGCTAACCGGAAGGTTTCTCTGTTTGATACTGCTAGTGAAACTGTGCAAGAAGTGGTCCGTATGTAACTATACCAAACGGAGACAATACATATTTATTTGTCAATAAGGCTTGTTCATAGGAAGCACTCAGACCGCCCGGTATTCAGGTTCTACGTGTGTTTTTATATAAAAAAGCGGCTGCCCTGATGAGAAGACATGCCTGAAATAAAAGTAACCCCACTGGGTGAGTAATGTTGCAGTGGCTAGGTAGCATCTGCTAAGCTAATTCTGTCAAAAACTACATTTGAACGCGTATGTAGACAGCTTTCACGTTATGTTTACGGCTTTTGAAAAGTACTAACTTGCGCATTTTCCATTATCGTGGTATAAAACATACTGTAAGATTAACCCCTCGCTGTTTGTTTGCTCCGGAATGGCTAAATCAGTTTACTTTACTACTTTTTCTCAAGCAACTTCACTTTACCTCTCCAAGGTGCTGGACAGGATGTCGGCCGCAGCTGCATCCTTGTCTCAATTGGAGGCAAAAACCTCATGCTCGACTGTGGGATGCACATGGGATACAATGATGATGTAAGTAACGTAGTTTATTTATCAAAGGAGGGTAATAACTGGATTTCTTTCATTGATTTGCTTTTATTTTGTCATAGTTTAACCACCCACATGTAACACACTTCTCCAAAGATTCATAAAATGCAGAAACAGCGAATATAAAATGATATGGTATAACATAAACCGGACTGAAAAACATGGGATAAAACCACTAAATGTTGGCCTGGGCCATGAAAACACTTCTAAGACTGCTGTACCTCTTCTACATTACTGTCTTCAGTGAAAGTTGCGACATGCAGATTAATTATAACAGATACTGTCTTACCTATTATACAATCTGTACATTCACACAGAGCTTCTCCTTACATTTCCATAAGTGAATTTTCTTTAAAAACATATAATTGCTGATGAAAGTAAGCATTAGTTGCAGCCCTGCTTGAAAAAAGTATCTAATTCCAAAGATTAATCCCTCTTGTCTCTTCTTTAATGGCATCCCCAGTGTCTTTAGCTAAGCCCATGCAAAGGTCTTGTTACAAAAGGGTTTTAAATACACCGTACTGAAAACCTTTTTCTAAATCTTCAGTTCATATTGTGATTCTCATAAATTGTGGACCTAGTCAAGAGGATAACTTACAGTACAGTCCCTATTGAACGCAAGTCTGTATTATCATTCCAGAGACGTTTCCCAGACTTTTCTTACATAACCCAGAATGGACGTTTGACTGATTTTTTGGACTGTGTGATCATCAGGTTTGTTGTCCATATAGCTGCAGTATATTATACCAGTTCGTTTTCATTCATATCTATACAACTAAATAAGTCTCACATGGCTACACATGCTCCTTTCTCAGCCATTTCCATTTGGATCACTGTGGAGCTCTGCCTTACATGAGTGAGATGGTAGGCTACGATGGGCCCATCTACATGACCCATCCCACCAAGGCTATCTGTCCCATTTTGCTAGAAGACTTCCGGAAGATCACTGTTGACAAAAAGGGAGAAACCAATTTCTTCACCTCACAGATGATCAAGGACTGCATGAAGAAAGTGATACCTCTGAACCTTCACCAAACCGTCCAGGTGCATTGCTGATCTAATTTATTCATGTGTCCAGATATCCATCTGTCAGTCATTTCTGCACCAGCTGCTCATGTCTTCTGATGGCAAATCATTTTGTTTATGTTGTGCTGCTGGCAGGTGGATGACGAGCTGGAGATCAAGGCGTACTATGCAGGTCATGTCCTAGGAGCTGCTATGGTGCAGATCAAAGTGGGATCAGAGTCTGTGGTCTATACTGTGAGTAAAAACAAGTCTGCCTTGTGTCAGAGTCATTGAATCTGATGACTAAGATCTCAGAATAATGTAGGTTTTTTTTTTTTAGGGAGACTATAACATGACACCAGACAGGCATTTAGGGTAAGTGGCATATACTGCATTTAACGATTATCTGCTGGAGTATGTCTACATACTGTAGTCTTTTCATCTCTGTTTTACTCATTGGTAGAGCTGCATGGATCGATAAGTGCCGTCCAGACATCCTCATCTCAGAGTCCACGTATGCCACCACTATCCGTGACTCAAAGAGATGCAGAGAGAGGGACTTTTTGAAGAAAGTGCATGAATCCATAGAAAGGGGAGGAAAGGTAAAGGTTAGATGTATACTGCAACTACAGGTGCAGTTTTAAGTGTTCTTCCTTTTTGATTTTGATTGGTTTGATTTATTCTTTCAAGCATGTAAAGACAGTTGATATGTCAACACACATAATTTTACACATATCCAACAAATGCTAATCCATTATCAATTTGCTTATACCTAGTACATGCTTGAATGGAGTAGGAAGAAGTCAGACTTATCCAGTCCTACCCCATGACATCATCTTACCATCATTGGTTTGCAAGCAGTAAATAATTCTCTTCTACA